ATTGAAAAATCTCAAAGCACAAATATCCAAAAATTGAAAAATTAAAACATGGAAAATTCAAAAATCGAAAAGTCGAAAAACCTAAGAATAGAAAAGTTGAAAAATCGTAAAAATAAAGAAAATAAACTCAAAGGAGATATTGCAATTCGAAAATTTGAAGAATTGAAAAGTCGGAGAAGTGAAATTTTAAAATTCAATAATTGAAAAATGGAAAAATTCTAAAATCGAAAAATTGACTATTGATTATTATTTTTAAATATTATAATTATTTACATCATTAAAATGAAAACTAAAAAACTTGCTAATCAAACATTCATTGAACGACTGAAAATTTGAAAAATCTAGAAATTGATACAAAAGTTGGAAAATCGGAAAACTGAACAATTTAAACAAATCGTACCATTGAAGAAAATCTAATAATTGAAGAAATAAAAAAAATAAATCTGAAAATCGAAAAACTGAAGAAATAAAAAATTAAAACAAAATAAAAAGAACAACTGAATAAACGAAGAAATGAAAAATTTTAAAACCCAATCATTGAAAAATGGAAAAATTCAAAAATCGAAAAGTTGTAAAAAGAAAATAAAAAACCGACACGAGAAACTGAAAATCGAAAATTTGAAGAAATGAAAAACTGAAGAGTCTAAAAATTCAAAATATAAAATTTGAATGCTTCAGAAATTTTAAACAGAAATACTGCAAAATTGAAACATTGAAGAAACAAAAAAAAAATTAAAAAACTGAAAAATCGCAAATCGAAAAACGGAGGAAACGAAAAATTGAAAAAATCAAGAAACTGGATAATCGAAATATTGAAAAACCAAAATATGTAAAATTCAAAAATCTGAAAATCGAAAAGGCGAACAATCTAAGAATAGAAAAGTTGAAAAATCAAAGATCGAGAAATCCAAACTGTAAAAATTGAAAAATCCAGAAACTGACAAATCCAAAACTAAAAAAAAGAAAAATTAATTCTAAAAGTCGAAAAATGGAAAACCCAAAAATTGATAACATGAAAAATCGAAAAAATGAAACATAAAAGTTGGAAAATCGGAAAAGTGAAAAAAATTAAAACTCCAACCAAAACGAGGAACTGAACATGGAAAATTTGAAGAAATGAAAACTCGAGAAATTTTAAATGGAAAAACTGCAAATATAAAAACTGAAGAAACAAAAACAAAATTAAAAAACTGAAAAATCGCAAATCGAAAAACTGAAGGAATGAAAAATTGGAAAATTGCAAATCGAAAATTTAAAGAAACGAAAAATTGAAAAAATTGTAATTATAGAAACAAAAACTTATAAAACCATTACATTAAAAAATCGAAAAACTAAAAAAAAATAAACGGAAATCAGAAACTGAAAATCGAAAATTTCAAGAAATGAAAAACTGAAGAGTAGGAAAATTCAAAAATTAGAATTTAGAAGCTCGAGAAATTTTAAATAGAAATACATACTGTAAAATCTAAAAATTGAAGAAACAAAGAAATGAAAATATTGAAAAATCGAAAAAGGGAAGAAATGAAAACTCAAAGAATTGCATATCGTAAAATTGAAGAACAAAAAATGAAAAGAAAATTTGAAACTGAAAAAATAAAAAATTATAAAATCGTAACTTTGAAAAATCGAAAAACTGTAAAAAAAATAAAACGAACTTCAAAATCCAGAAATCGAAAATTCTAAAATATAAAAAACCGAAAAATAATTTAAAACACCAAAAACGCGAGAAATTAAAAACTTTGAAATCGAAAAATGAAAAACTTAAAAAAATTCGAAAAATGAAAAATCGAGAAATCGAAAAATTGAAAGTCGAACATTTAAAAATTCGAAAAACTAAAAAACCAAAACGAGAAGAAATGAAAAATTGCAAATCGAAAATTTGAAGAAACCAAAAATTGAAAAAAATTGACATTGAAAAAACAAACTTTTAAAACCATACCATTAAAAAATCGAAATACTGTAAAAAAATAAACCGAAACCAGTAACTGAAAATCGAAAATTTGAAGAAAAGAAAAACTGAGGAGTCGAAAAATTCGAAAATTAGAATTTAGAAGCTGGAGAAATTTTAAATAGGAATACTGTATAATCTAAAAATTGAAGAAACAAAAAATGAAATTACTGGAAAATCGAAAAATGGAAGAAATAAAAACTCGAAGAATTGCATATCGTAAAATGAAGAACAAAAAAAGACAAGAAAATTTGAAACTGAAAAAATAAAAAATTATAAAATCGTAACTTTGAAAAATCGAAAAACTGTAAAAAAACAAAACGAACTTCAAAAATCCAGAAATCGAAAATTCTAAAATATAAAAAACCGAAAAATAATTTAAAACACCAAAAACTCGAGAAATTAAAAACTTTGAAATCGAAAAATGAAAAACTTAAAAAAATTCGAAAAATGAAAAGTCGAGAAATCGAAAAATTGAAAGTCGGAACATTTAAAAATACGAAAAACTAAAAAACCAAAACGAGAAGAAATGAAAAATTGAAAAATTGCAAATCGAAAATTTGAAGAAACGAAAAATTGAAAAAAATTGACATTGAAAAAACAAAAACTTTTAAAACCATACCATTAAAAACTGTAAAAAAAACAAAACGAACTTCAAAAATCCAGAAATTGAAAATTCTAAAAAACCGAAAAATAATTTAAAACACCAAAAACTCGAGAAATTTAAAAATTTTAAAATCGAAAAATGAAAAACTTAAAAAAATTCGAAAAATTAAAAATCGAGAAATCGAAAAATTGAAAGTCGAACATTTAAAAATTCGAAAAACTAAAAAACCAAAACGAGGAGAAATGAAAAATTGCAAATCGAAAATTTGAAGAAACCAAAAATTGAAAAAAATTGACATTGAAAAAACAGAAACTTTTAAAACCATAACATTAAAAAATCGAAATACTGTAAAAAAAATAAACCGAAACCAGTAACTGAAAATCGAAAATTTGAAGAAAAGAAAAACTGAGGAGTCGAAAAATTCGAAAATTAGAATTTAGAAGCTGGAGAAATTTTAAATAGGAATACTGTATAATCCAAAAATTGAAGAAACAAAAAATTAAATTACTGGAAAATCGAAAAATGGAAGAAATAAAAACTCGAAGAATTGCATATCGTAAAATTGAAGAACCAAAAAAGAAAAGAAAATTCGGAATTGAAGAAACAAAAAATTATAAAGTCTTGACGTCGAAAAATTGAAAATCGAAAATTTGAAGAAATGAACTGAAAAGTCTGAAAATTCAAAATGTAGATCAATTTGAATGCTCCAGAAATTTTAAATAAAAATAAAAATTGAAGAAACAAAAAAAAAATAAAAAAAAAACTGAAAAATCGCAAATCGAAAAACGGAAGAGATCGAAATATTGAAACATAGATAAATTGAAAAATCGCAAACCTGAAATGTCGAGATACTGAAAGATCAAAACCAGAAGTCGAAAAATCTAAAATATAAAATATCGAAAAACTGAAAAATTGTTAATTTGAAACACCAAAAACTCAAAAAAATTAAAAATTTGAAAGCGAAAAATCAAAAAGTTAAAAAATTGGAAAACAGAAAAATTGAAAATTTAAAAACTCGAAAAATCGAACAATCGAAACTTTAAAAACTTAAAAAGTTGGAAAATCAAAACCTGAAAAGTGGAAAAATTGAAAAACTGAAAAATCTAAAAAATTCAAGGAAATAGATACCAATAGGCGAATCTGGAAAAACTTTACTCTTTTAGTATGGCAAAGAAAAGTTCTAACACGTCCAAAAATAATTATAGAGTAATGATAAATTCTTATGTGGAAACACAGTTTGTATAGAATCCAAATTTTGTTTGAAGTACTTGAATGTGAACAGAGATTTCTTTCTTTTAGTGTTGTGGCTGAATTTTGTTGCTTAAATTGCCAACAGATGGCAGTCCTGGCACAAATCCGTTTGTTTATTTGCTTTATAAATGCACAGTACTTCCAGATTTAGTTAAATTTTCCAGTTTAAATCGACTTTCTTTTTGAGGGTTTTCCAAGTACTTTGGAAAAATAATTAAATGTGCATTTTTTCGTTAAAAATGTCATTAATAGGCGTTTTTTATATTCCCGGCGCATCCACCATATGACTTAAACCACCTATAAAATTCCAACCAATGTCGCGTCAGACCTTGACTCAGCGACGAGTGAATAAGACAACTTACTCATCGAGTAAGTAAACCGCGCACTAAACAACCCATAAAAACTCCATCAAGTTTCCTTTCAGCATTAACCACTTCGTCCGGGAGTGGTTGCAAACACATCAGCGTCCGAGTATTTTAAGCAAGAAATCACATGGTATCTTTAAAAATAAATGATTTTGTGCAATATATCACGCCCGTTGCACACAGAATTCTTTTCTAAAAATACCGAAAAAATATTTTCGGAAACTGCGAATACGTGTAAACCCATTGTGCAAAGCTACATGGAATACGTGCTCTGGAAACGTGCCACGTCGCCCGTAATATTTTCGAATCGGAGAAAAACGTTGAAGCTTTTGTCAAACAAGTAACCCGAGCCGAAAAATAAAAATATAAAAAAGTGACTCAGCCAAAATAATTAGTCGGACGCAATTCTTCGGCAAGTATTTCGAAAATGCGATAGTTTTGTCTGAGGTTGTTTTCGAACAGCGACGCAAACGCGCCCGAAATAGACCATATTATAAATGAAATGCGTTTAATAGCGCGACACGCACGACACAGATTGTATAGAAAATATTATTAGAAGTCCAATTTCATATTTTTAGCGTACTTCAATTACGACGACGTACAGGTGTGTTTAAAATTATGCTCTAAGTAACTTGTCGTTAGGCGGCTGATGTACCATGTCAGACAGCATTATGGATTGCATCTTTCTAATTAAGCCCGATGCGTCCGATCAAAGCGACGCACGCTGGAATTTTCGTGTGACGGCCGAGACGAGGTCGAGGAGGTCGAGTCGGCGCTGATATTTTTCCCACTGTCGATTATATTGTTTATTGAAGCTTTTGGCGTTCGGTTACGTTGCTGCCCCCCGCTTGTCCTCTATGGGTAGTGTGGGTTACGAGCACAGCCTGCCAGTTTATCCCTGCGATCGTCTGAAAAGCGGCAACGAATATTTCAGGTATCTGCACTCCAACTTAGCCCAACATTTTTCATTTATTAGACATTTAATCACACTCATCACTTATTTTTAACCCTGCATCCTCCCAGAATCGTTACTAACGGCATTTTCGCGACATTGATACCCCATTTTTTCGCAAAATCGAACCTAATTGTCGTAGTTTGCTTTTAATAATAGAACGTTTGAACCGCAGTCCGGTAATTGCGATAATTAGCTCTAAATTTCCTCCAGAATGAAGTCTTTTACGCGTTGCCAAGCTCAGAGTGACTCACTGCATTGTCTGCGACTAAAACAATCGATTTGCCAGCTGATGATTAGTGTTTGGGTATAATTAGACTCCAAACAACTAGAATAGTTTACCTACCTGTTAAAAATAAGTATGACTTGAGGATTTTTCGGCGTGGATTTTCAAAGTTTTGGCAATCAGCCGTGACGGAAGACAAATTAGCTGTAAATCTGAAAGCACTATAAAACATTGCGATAAGTACTGAATCTGAAAGTGAGTCATCGTAGGTCGACTAATATTAGTTTTGAGATGAGAAAAATGGGCTGTTTTGTAACGTGTGTGGTAATCGATACCGGCGCTAATGAATAACATGTGTTATAAACTAACCTGAAGTGAACTTTTCTAAAAATATGCACCTTGAAGTTTTCCTTAAGAGATTTTTCGGAATGCGCCAATAAATTCGAGGTAACAAGGTCCATTAAAAAACACATTCTGGGTTAATTGTTTTTTACTATTTTTTTTAGTCTTAAATTTAATTTAGAAAACCTTTGACATTTATTTTATTGGAAGTTTGAATATCGAAGTGCGTCACAATTCTGCCATGAAACAAAATTAGAACAGACTTTCGCACAAATGGGTTAGACAAAGATGACAAAATAACGTTCAAGATAATTTTATAAAATAGCGTTCCACATTTTTTCCTTGAGAATTTAATAAAGATAGACATCCCACGATAGTTAACTTTGGATTGCAGAGTGTCGCGAAAAACCCGCTTTAGCACCTAGTTGGAAAATTGTTTTTTTGTTTAATCATTTAGATTGTTCACTGTTAGTTTGCTTTTCCATTATTTAACTTAGTTTCCTAAAAAAGGTTGGCAACGTAATTAAAATTGTATGATGGCAGACCTGAGTGTCAAAATGGAATTTGGAGCATCAGTCATCTTCTCATCACGTTTGTAAACAGTGTTAGGTGCGCTTCTGTCAAAGTTGACAACTGTTAATTGACATATTTACATTGCTGCCAAAAAGTCAGAATTGCCAACGCAAAAATTAGTATTAAATATTTTGCAGTTAAGCTTTGCCCCCTTGATTCACGATGAGTAAAAAAATCATCACATTAGAGACAGGGCGGGTGGGCGGGCTTACATGTTGCCTTTTTGTTTAAATATGTGTAGACTTTTTTTCACACCACGAAACTTAAAACATGTTCAAATTGGAAACTTTGTATAAAGAAATATCGATTTTCCAATTAGGCTCCGCCCCATAATTGCAAAATCCATGTTTCCTTGCAAAATTACCATTAATCGTTCTAAGTTCTTGTTATGAAAAGATGGGTATATATATTAAGAAAAACAGGTAAAATATAAGCCCCGCCCACCCATCCTATCTCATTTCCGATGATTTTTGTTATTCGTCGTAAGCCGAGAGGCGGAGCTTAATTGTAAAATTCTTATTTTCATACGAGAAATTATTATGTGAAATATGTTCTTAACTAATCGTGTTATTCAAAGAAAACTAAATGTATTAATTATAAAAAAAAAGAAAATAGTTTCTTGTTGTGAAAAGATGGCTACGTATATTACGAAAAACAGGTAAAATATAAGCCCCACCCACCCGCCCTTTCTCATTTCTGGCGAATTTATTTTTATTCGTCGTAAGCTACGGGGCGAAACTTAACTGCAAAATCCGTATTTTTCTACGAGAAATTACCATGTGAAACTTGTTCTTAAGTTTAAGTAATCGTGTTATTCAAAGAAAAGTAAACGTATTAGGTGAAAAAGAAAGGCAAATGATAAACCCCACCCTTTCATTTCAATGTCAATCCTGATGAATTTTTCATTTGTTGTCAGACCGGGGGGCGGAGCGTCATTGCAAAATCCATATTTACTTAGAAAAATTTACCCCTCTGATAAAGTTTTAAAATAAAGCAAAATACAAGTCCCGCCCACCCGCCCTATCTCAACTGTGATGATTGGTTTATGCATGGGCGGGCCTTATATTTTGCCTTTTTTTTTTAAATATGCGTAATTTTTTTTTTTCATAATAAGAAACTGAAAACAAACTCAAAATGCTAAAATTTTATAGGGAAATACGGATTTTGCAATTAAGCTTCGCCCTCTTGGCTCACGACGAATAAAAAAATCATCACAATTGAGGTGGGGTGGGTGGGCGGGTTCATATTTTGACTTTTGTTTCTTTCTTAATATTCGTAATCTTCTTTCCACTACAAGAAACTTAAAATACATATAGCCAAAACGGTAAATTTTCGCAAAAAATTATATTTAAAAAAAGGCAAAATATAAGCCCCGACTACCCGCCCTTTCTCATTTCCGATGATTTTTTTTATTCGTCGTAAGCCGAGAGGCGGAGCTTAATTGTAAAATCCTTTTTTTTCTACGAGAAATTACCATGTGAAATATGTTCTTAACTAATTAATAAAATAAAAAATAAAATAAAAAAATAATCGCGTTGTACAAAGAAAACTAAATGTATTAATTATAAAAAAAAGAAAAGAGTTTCTTGTTGTGAAAAGATGACTACGTATATAAAGAAAAACAGGTAAAATATAAGCCCCGCCCACCCGCCCTTTCTCATTTCTGATGAATTTGTTTTTATTCGTCGTAAGCCACGGGGCGAAACTTAACTGCAAAATCCGTATTTTTCTAGGAAAAATAAATTACCATGTGAAATTGTTCTTAAGTAATCGTGTTATTCAAAAAAAAAAAAAAACTAAACGTATTAGGTAAAAAAGAAAGCCCCACCCATTCCTCTCAATGTAACTCCTGATGAATTTTTCATTCGTTGTCAGACCGGAGGGCGGAGCGTCATTGCAAAATCCATATTTGCCTACAAAAATTTACCAATTTGATAACGTTTTAAGTCTTTAGTGGTGAAAAGAAGACTGCTTATAGTAAGAAAAATAAAGTAAAACACAAGCCCCGCCCACCCGTCCTATGTGAGCTGTGATGATTTGTTAACACATGGGCGGGGCTTATATTTTGCCTTTTTTTTAAGTACATTAGGGGTGCAATTTTTTTTTTCATAACAAGAAAATGAAAACAAACTCAAAATGGTAAAATTTTCTAGGGAAATACGGATTTTGCAATTAAGCTTCGCCCTTTTGCCTCACGACGAATAAAAAAATCATCACAATTGAGGTGGGGTGGGTGGGCGGGGCTTATCTTTTTGTGTTTCTTTCTTAATATTTGTAGCCTTCTTTCCACAATATAAGTCCCGCCTACCCGACCTCGTCTCAATTTCGATGAATTTTTCATTCGTTGTCAGACCGAGGGGCGGAATTGCAAAATCGATATTTCCCTATACAAATTTACCATTTTAAACATGTTTTAAGTTTCTTGTTGTGAAAAGATGACTACACATTATATTAAGAAAAGTAGACAAAATGTAGGCCCCACCCATCCACCCAGTCTCAATTGTGATGATTGTTTTATTCGTCGAGAGCCAAGTGGGCGGAGCTTAATTGCAAAGTCCTTATTATTATCAAATTTTGTATGTATTTTAAGAGTATCCTCTAGGTGGTGAAAAGCTAAATAAAATTTGTCTAAACAGCCCCTCCAACAAGTTGATATTTTTTATTTTTTTTTATCGAAATATTATGAATTATTATACTTCTGTACTTGTAGTTGACGAATTCGCCTTGATTTGTATCAGAATTGCTTCAAAATTTTTTTGGTGGTTTATGTGCCCTATATTTTTTCTGTGACTTGTTTTATCATATTTTTTTACTTATATGGGTTATCATGAAATAAAAAAATGTTGCAAAACCATTTTTTAAATTTTTCTAAAAAACTGGATTTGTTGGATTGTATTTAAAGGGCGAGGGAAGTTCCGTCTAAATAACCTTACACCATTTTTTTGCATAATTAGTGTCATTAGCCTGTTCACAGGTTTTATAACCACAATTTATTTTTGAAATTTTGATGCGACGTTGCCAAGTTACTCCAATTTATTTGAAATGTTTTGGCAATGGAAGGGGTTCACAAAAAAATCACAACCGGGTTATTTTTAACATCTGTACTACAATCTTTGTGGAGGGATAAATAAAGGTACGCGTTTTATTGTGGTACTAATTAAATCAAAATTTCATATACAGAGTGTTTATAAGAAAATTCCAAAACTTTGCAATTTTCATTTATCGATAGTTCAGTTTTTCCAAATAGAACACCCTGTATTTCATTGCCGGACCCTTATCTACTCAACAAAAAAAGAAATAGCAAAAAATAAAATACGATGCAGTAGTACAATACAGGATGTTCTATTTAAAAAAAAAACCTTTATGAAAATTTCTAGAAAATTGGAATAACACAGGAATTTCAAAAATAAACTGGGGGAACCGTAGAACTTTGGTCTTCTACTTTTTTTCTTATATCTAATAATGAGACATCGAGGAACGTTTTATTTTTTATGATTTTTTTTTTATTCGAAAGACTCTTGGGTACCAATGGTGTATTATTTTGGGACCCCATGAAGATTTTTTTTTGAAAATTATTCAAAACAATTTTGGGGATTTTGGTATTCTATTTTTGGAAAATTCTGACCTGACCTGTTTTTGAGTTAATTCTAGGACCCCGTGTTTTTCTTTTTTTGAAAAATACGTGTCTAGGATCTTTTTTTATAATAATTTAATTAAATTACTTAGATACGTCATTTGCTAAAATCAGTCTTATCTTATCAAATACTAGCCCCACCCACCCACCCTCTGTTTTCTTACAGGTTATGTCATTTGCCACAGTCAGACTTATCTTAGCAAATACTAGCCCCGCCCACCCACCCTCTGTTTTCTTGGAAAGTATGTCATTTGTCAAAATCGGTCCTATTTTAGCAGGTACTAACTCCACCCACCCACCCTCTTTTCTTAGGGGGACCTATATAATTTGTTAAAATTATTCTTATACTAGCTAGTGGGTGATAAGATAAAACTAATTTCGACAGATGACATATCCTCTAAGAAAAGAGAGGGTGGGTGGGTGGGGCTAGTATCTGCTAAGATCAAACTGAATTTGGAAAATGACATACTTTCTAAAAAAGAGAGAGGGTGGGTGGGCGGGGCTAGTACCTGCTAGGATAAGACTGATTTTGGCAAATGACATACCTTCTAAGAAAAGAGTGGGTGGCTAATTTTTCGACATAGTTGCAAAAAGGTCGAAAATGTCAAAAGTGCCAAAATCAATCTTATCTTATCAAATACTAGCCCCACCCACCCGCCCTCTGTTTTCTTGGAAGGTATGTCATTCGCCAAAAGCAGTACTATCTTATCAAATACTAGCCCCACCCACCCACCCTCTGTTTTCTTGGAAGGTATGTCATCTGCCAAAAACAGTCTTATCATATCAAATACTAGTCCCGCCCACCCACCCACTTTTTTCTTAGAAGGTATGTCATTTGCCAAAATCGGTCCTATTTTAGCAGGTACTAACTCCACCCACCCACCTTCTTTTCTTAGGGGGTACTTATATAATTTGTTAAAATTATTCTTATACTAGCCTAGTGGGTGATAAGATGAAACTAATTTTGGCAGATGACATATCCTTTAAGAAAAGAAAAGGTGGGTGGGTGGGCTTAGTATCTACTAAGATCAAACTGAATTTGGAAAATGACATACCTTCTAAAAAAGAGAGAGGGTGGGTGGGCGGGACTAGTACCTGCTAGGATTAGACTGATTTTGGCAAATGACATACCTTCTAAGAAAAGAGAGGGTGGCTAATTTTTGGACATAGTTGAAAAATGGTCGCAAATGTCAAAAGTGCCAAAATCAGTCTTATCTTATCAAATACTAGCCCCACCCACCCGCCCTCTGTTTTCTTGGAAGGTATGTCATTTACCAAAAACAGTCTTATCCTACTAAATACTAGCCCCATCCACCCACCCTCTGTTTTCTTGGAAGGTATGTCATCTGCCAAAAACAGTCTTATCTTATCAAATACTAGCCCCGCCCACCCACCCTCTTTTTTCTTAGAAAGTATGTCATTTGCCAAAATCGGTCCTATTTTCGCAGGTACTAACTCCACTCAGCCACCTCTTTTCTTAGGGTGTATATAATTTGTCAAAATTATTCTTATACTAGCTAGTGGGTGATAAGATAAAACTAATTTTGGCAGATGACGTATCCTCTAAGAAAAGAGAGGGTGGGTGGGCGGGGCTAGTATCTGCTAAGACAAAACTGAATTTTGCAAATGACATACCTTCTAAAAAAAAGAGAGGGTGAGTGGGCGGGGCTAGTACCTTTTAGGATAAGACTGATTTTGGCAAATACGATCCCTCTAAGAAAATAGCGATCGGGTGGGCAGGGTTAATAGAAGGTATGTCATTTTCCAAAATCGGTCCTATTTTAACAGGTGCTAGCTCCACCCACCCACCCTCTTTTCTTAGAGGGTATATAATTTGTCAAAATTATTCTTATACTAGCTAGTGGGTGATAAGATAAAACTAATTTCGGCAGATGACATATCCTCTAAGAAAAGAGAGGGTGGGTGGGCGGGGCTAGTATCTGCTAAGACGAAACTGAATTTGGCAAATGATATACCTTCTAAAAAGAGAGAGGGTGGGTGGGCGGGGCTAGTACCTGTTAGGATAAGACTGATTTTGGCAAATAAGATCCCTCTAAGAAAATAGCGATCGGGTGGGCGGGGTTAGTACCTGCTAAAATAAGGTCGATTTTGGCAAATGACATAGCCTCAAAGAAAAGAGAGGGTGGGTGGGTGGGACTAGTAACTGCTAAGATAAAACTGATTTTAGCAGCTAATAGCATATAAAACATGAGTGAGTCACTAAGAGTTTACAACAAAGAAAGAAAATTAATTATTATTTTCTTTTACTATGTTTAAAATATTTGAACTTTTATTTGGGACAGTGGTAAAAAAACGTTTATAATGAAATAGATTGTATTTTATTGTCTTTTAAAATTTGTATTTAAATAAACATCTGCATGGTGCCAATTTTTTTTTAGTTTTAATTACGATAATTGATAACTCGATTTTTTTTCAATTCAACACCGGGAATTTTTAAAAGGAAAATTAATTACCGTTTTAGATTTATTTTATTAGTTTGTCAGCCAAGAAAAAAAAAACAAGAAAGCTATTAGAATATACCGAAGCGAACCAGATCTCAAGAGCTAATTTGTTTAAAAATAGATGTGGTACAGATGTTTCATTTAAATAAATAATTATAAATAAATAAACAAATACAAAGTGCCAGGTCAAGTTAAATTACTCTCCAGAAACCATTTTTCACAATTTGCAAGGGTTTTGACATTTTAGATGTTCTTTGAGTTGTCTTTTTCAAAATTAGCGACATTTTTCCCTTTATGACGAATACCAATATTTTGGGTCATAAATTTAACCAGACGGTGTGACAAACATCGTTCTAGAAAGAGCTTTTTTGTGTCACTGCCTGGAGCAAAATTAGAACATTGCATTCACTTGAGATTTTTTTGCTAAAGTATTCAAATTTTTTTGTGCACGTCATACATTTGACGTCACTTTCAAAAAAAACCTTAATGATCTCATCGGACTAAATTTACCCACCCAAGCGCAATTATAGGGCAAAGTGCTAATTCTAGAACAAAAATACCATCAATCTGACAAAACTAAACCCGGATTAGTAAATCGTGACGACACGTAAATAATAGTCCCGACTCTGGAACACTGTGACAATCCATCTTCCTCCCGTCTTTCTTTAGCTGGAATTTTTGCGTCGCATCATAAATCCGGCGCCGTTTTCCCCGAAACCTCAACACTTATCGCAAGAGTTTTGATTATCTCGTCCGACACGAGTTTACTTAACATTGTCGGCCGAAAATAGTTCCTCGTTACGTTCGAAATTACCGAATCATAAACAACCACTGCATATTTTCCCCATCTAGGTAGTATAGAAGCGACTCGAAGTGAGCGACCCCCCAAAAATGGCACGATTGGTCAACAAGCAGTTCAACTCTCCCATCGGCCTCTACTCCGAGCAGAACATTCGAGAAGTAATCCAAAGAGAATCTCAGATTCTATCGAACGGAGCTGTTGGGTAAGACTCAATAATGCGGATACTTTTCGCAGAACAATTACACAAGCACGGATTTGGCGCAGTTCCAAGCAGGTATATTTTGCTGGTGTACATTCCAACAACCTCATTTCCAACCGGGCAAATCCTAATTGACATATTTGCGCCGGAAAATTTTTAAAATTAAGTATTCGCTATTTCGGGAGTTGTCCAGACGGCGGTGGGCGACGGCGAAAATAACCCGGATTTGGGACAATAATTAAAGTCCGTACCCAGTGGCGTAGCTAGCTTCCACTGCGCCCCCCCGCAGTTTATAGTAAGCGCCCCCATACACCAAATTTAAAAAGTAATATAAAAGTAATATGAAATTACTGGTTTACCAGTAGTGGCGCCGAATAACACAGATTTACAAATAATAATAATTTATACACATAATAATTTTTAAAAATTGTTAATTGATTATACTGGCTTCATTCGACGTTGTCGAGAGTTCATAAATTCGCGTATGACACTGTCGAGATCTAATTTTTGAGATCGGTCACACTCAATGCTCAACACAGCTAAGTTGGTTAATCGTTTTTGACTCATCGTGCTTCGCAAATATGATTTAATTAATTTTAATTTAGAAAAAGATCTTTCTACCGTTAAAGAATTATTGTCCATAAACAGAATCTTAGCAATATCTGTAATTTTAGTTATTTTTTGCTGAATAATTTCACCAACAACAATGTTTTTAAAACTAACGATTTGCCCACAGATTGCACTAGAAACATCTTCTTCGTATGTATTTGCCAACTTTGATGCTGCCTCCACAAATTCTTCGTCTGTACTATTCAACATTTCCTGTGGTTCCAGAAAAGAAAAATAGTTTCTGACGTTTTTCATGCTTTCAAACCTATCTTTAATTTGAATGTTTAAAATATCAAGAGCAGGATAAAAAACGGTTGTTTTAAATTTTTCAGTGGGATCTTTGAAAACGGTATCTTCGCATAATTCGTCATGAAACAGTTTTACTTTTTTTGTACGTTTATTTGAAAAAGAATTGTTAATTTTCCAGGTATCAGCACATTTCCTTGATTCCTCCATTATTTGTTCAAAATTGTCACGTATACTTTGAAATTTGTCTTTTAGATGTTCCATCCATTTACAAGCCTCATCTAAAGTAATATTTGAACTCTGTAAAGTTTTTGAGACCAAATTGACATTTTCTAAAATTTCGCATTGAAATACTAATAGAGCAACAAATTCAAATGAATCCATTTTTTTACGAAGATCTACAGCTTCATCTATTTCACTTTTCTTTTTGGATGTTAAAATAATTTCAGCTCATAACTGTTGAGAGATTATATCTAATGGCAATTAGAGAATCAAACCTCGATGACCATGTGGTGGGGCATAACTTTTTAAAAGTTTTTTTTATAACATACTTATCATTTTCTTTCATCTCAATGTTATGTTGTTGCCATCCATTCTTAACAGAATCATTAAGGACTAAATTGAGGTTATGTGTAGCGCAATGAACATATTCGGCGTAATGATGTTGTTTCAAGTTCTTCATTTTTGTTATATCATTTTCCCGATTTTTTAATTTTCATTTTCTGGATTTTATATCACAATTTTTCGTTTATTCAATTTTTCACATTTTCAATTCCTCGATTTTCCAATTTTCAATATTTAGATTTTACAATAAGTTTCGTGTTTTCGACCGCAATTTTTCGATCTTTAAGTTTCTCAACTTTTAATCTTTCGATTTTCGAATTTTCCGTTTCTTCAATTTCTCAAGTTTTTAGATTTCTCGAAGCTTTCCTTTTATACTTTTGCGTTTTTTCATTTTGAGTTTTCAATTTTACAATTTTTCTATTTTATAACTTTTCCATTTTGTTTATTCGGACAGTAGAAACTTCGAAAAATTGAAAAATCGGAAAATTAAAAAATTGGAAAAAATTGAAAAAACAAAAAATCGATAAAACGGAAAATCGAATGGAATTAGTTTTTACGATTTTTTAACTTCGATTTTTTAAATTTTTTAATCTGTATTTCAATTTTTCGATTTTTGGAATTTTCTGTTTATCGATTTTTTTAGTTTTTCGATTTTTCTGTTTATCTTTTTTTTAAGTAAATATTTCAATTTTGAATTTTCCGATTTCGGCCTATTTCGATTTCTCGATCTTTTGAAGTCTCAAGTTTTCGATTTCGATTTCTTGGTTTTTCGATTTTCAAAATTTTCGATTTTTCTAGTATGTATATATTTTAAATTTTCGATTTTTTAAATTTTCCATTTTTCGCTTTTATAGTCTTTGTTTCGATTTCCCGATTTTTATTTTTTAATGTGTTCCAATTTTTCCATTTTTGGAATTTTCGATTTCTCATATCTCAATTTTCCAATTTTAAAAATTTTTCGATTTCTCGATTTTTAAATTTTTGGCTATCCCAATTTTTCAACATCGCAATTTTGGGAATTTTTCAATTTCTATATTTTTCAGATTTTCCATGTTTTCATTTTCCCTATTTTTTAATTTTCATTTTCTGGATTTTATATCACAATTTTTTGTTTATTCAGTTTTTCACATTTTCAATTCCTTGATTTTCCAATTTTCAATATTTAGATTTTATAATAATTTTCGTGTTTTCGATCGCAATTTTTCGATCTTTAAGTTTCCCAATTTTTAATCTTTCGATTTTCGAATTTTCCGTTTCTTCAATTTCTCAGGTTTTTAGATTTCTTGAAGCTTTCCTTTTATACTTTTGCGTTTTTTCATTTTGAGTTTTCAATTTTACAATTTTTCTATTTTATAACTTTTCCATTTTGTTTATTCGGAAAGTAGAAACTTCGAAAAATTGAAAAATGGGAAAATTAAAAAAATGGAAAAAATTGAAAAAACAAAAAATTGCAAAATCGATAAAACGGAAAATCGAATGGAATTTGTTTTTACGATTTTTTAACTTCGATATTTTAAATTTTTTAATCTGTATTTCAATTTTTCGATTTTTGGAATTTTCTGTTTATCGATTTTTTTAGTTTTTAGATTTTTCCGTTTATCTTTTTTTTAAGTAAATATTTCAGTTTTGAATTTTCCGATTTCGGCCTATTTCGATTTCTCGATCTTTTGAAGTCTCAAGTTTTCGATTTCGATTTCTTGGTTTTTCGATTTTCAAAATTTTCGATTTTTCTAGTATATATTTTAAATTTTCGATTTTTTAAATTTTCCATTTATCGCTTTTATAATCTTTATGTTTCGATTTCCGGATTTTTATTTTTTAATGTGTTTCAATTTTTCCATTTTTGGAATTTTCGATTTCTCATATCTCAATTTTTCAATTTTAAAAATTTTTCGATTTCTCGATTTTTAAATTTTTGGCTATCTCAATTTTTCAACATCGCAATTTTGGGAATTTTTCAATTTCTATATTTTTCAGATTTTCCATATTTTCATTTTCCCGATTTTGTAATTTTCATTTTCTTGATTTTATATCACTTTTCATTTTTCCATTACCTTTATTTTTTCAATGTTTCTTTGGATTTTATAATTTTTTGTTTATTCAATTTTTTACATTTTCGATCTTTGATTTTTTAAGTTCTTGATTTCCAATTTTTTTATTTTCCAAAGCTTTCATTTTGTACTTTTTCAGTTTTACAATTTTTCTATTTTATAATTTTTCGATTTTGTTTATTCGAAAAGTTAAAAACTCGAAAAAGTGAAAAATTTAAACAATGCAAAACTAAAAACCGAGAAACTTAAAAATCTAAAAAAAATTAATGAATCGAAGAATGGGAAAGAAGAAAAACCATTCGAATTGAAAAATTGGAAAATCCAAAAATTGTAAAATCGAAAAATTATAGAATCTTGAAAACTGTAAAGTCCAAAAACTGTGACATTCAAACACCGAAAAATTGAAAAATTTCAAAAACGAGAAACTGAAAAAGTGAACAACTTTAAAAATTATAATTATTAGGAATGTTACATAATTAAAATGAAAACTAGAAAAACTGCAAATGAAAAATTAAAAAAAAAAAACGGAAAATTGAAAGCCTAAAATTAAAAAAATAAAGAAAATTAAAAACCCACACGAAAAATTGCAAACTCTAAAATTTGAAACATCTAAAAGTTGGAAAATCAAAAACTGAAAAATCGAGAAATCGAAAATTTTCAAAACTGAAAAGTCGAAAGATTGAAAAATCGAAAAACCGAGGAATTCAAACTGAAAAAAGATCGAGAATTCAAGATGTCGAAAAATCTAAATATCTAAAATTTAAAAAATAGAAAAATTACAATAACGAAAAATTTAACATTTAAAAAAAACACAAAATTAAAAAGTCGAAAAATCGAGAAATCGAGAAATGGAAAAATGAAAATTTAGGAAAACCAAAGATTGAAAAGCATAAAAAAAATTAAAATCGGGAAATCGGAAAGTAAAAAAAAAAATAAAATCGAAAAATTGAAAAATTTTAAATTTAAAAATTCGAAAACTTGAAAAACCGAAAAACTGAAGAAATGAAAAACTAAAAAATCGACAAATTGAAAAATCTCAAAACTGAAAAGTCGGAAAATTGAAAAACCCAAAAATCGATTTCCGGCAAGTCGAAAAATCAAAATTTAAAAAGTTGAAAAATGAAAATATCAAAAAACTGAAAAATATAAGACATTCTCAAAATTGAAATGTTGAAAAATTGAGAAATTGAAAACTTGAAAAAAAGAACGAAAAGTAAAAACATTTTAAAATCGAAAAAACGAAAAATCGAGATGTAAGAAATCGAAAATTCCAAAATCGAAAAATTGGAATACACATTAAAAAGGTTAAAATCGGGAGATCGAAGCATTACAAAACATAAAATCGAAAAATGGAGAATTTTAAAAATCTAAAAACTTGAAGAAATAAAAAATTGAAAAATGGAAAAGCCGAGAAATCGAAATTAAAAAATTGAGACATCAAAAGATCCGAGAAATGGAGAAATCGAAATAGCCCGAAATCGAAAAACCGGAAAATTTAAAACTGAAATACATATTTAAACTTGAAAAAAAACGATAACTCAAAATATTCAAAATTCGAAAAATCAGAAATTTTAAAAATCGAAACATCGAGAAATCGAAATATCAAAAAAGTGAAAAATTTTAAATTAAAAAATTGGAGACATTGAAAAATCCCAAAATTGGAACAACGAAAACTTCAAAAATCGATAAATTGGAAAGAGGAAAAATCGAAAAATCAAAGAATTGATTAATAGAGAAATTGAGAAATGTAAAAATGAAAATTTAAAAAAGGCAAAAATTGAAAAATTGTAAAACTGAAATATCGAAAAATTAAGTAAACTAAAAATCGAGAAATCAAGAAATCGAAAAATTGAAAAAGTGAACAACTCTAAAAAAAATATAATTATTATTACATATCTAAAATGAAAACTAGAAAACCTGCAAATCAAAAATTGAAGAAACGAAAAATTGAAAAATCCAAAAACTGAAAAATTTCAAATTGAGAAAAAGAAAAAATATAAAAACTCGTTCCTCGCCGGGTGCTATTTACGCCACTGTCCGTACCTGTGTGTCTTCGTTCATCCAGACCGAGGAAGTATGCCAAAGTTTGTGGTTCGATAGCCAATCTTTGGCAGTTGCTGCAGACATATGAATATAATATTTCATCTGGGTAGAAAAGTGCTGAAACTTCAGCTGGTCGATAAATTAACTAACACCAAGAATTTCTATAAATTTATATCGAGTATAAATAAAACCGGCCTACTTCGCTAAGGACAAATGGACGTTTATTTTGCTAAGAATTCTCGGGTGTTTGTTTTCTGAAGAAAGTAGCTCTTGTGTATAACGATTCTAGAATCATATTAGACCGCGTAAACAATCCAAGTTTACACGAACCTCTTTTTTGAGGAAAACGGAGTGAAAGATGAGAGTCTATTTTTGAAGCAACTTGGCGATGCGAAGCAATGCAATAAAACCGCAACTGAAACCTCCAGAGTTCACTGGTCACATTTATATAGGAAACGCTTCCTAATTGCTCACAAATGCACTTATCAACCGTTTCGTTTCCAAGCGTGATACATTTTTTGAGTGACCCTCAAAGATCAATGAATCCGTTCATATTTCGGTCCAGGTGATTCAGAGTGTGCGTAGATCCGAAATTATGCCGTGTCAGCAAGACACTAACTTTATGACGAAGATTTGTCTCGTTTAGGGTTTCGCAAGTCATGCTGAAGACTTTCAGTACACGAAATGCTCTCGAACGCGTAACATATCCGATCCGTACCAATCGCGCCGGTCTGCATTTACTTAAATTACTTTACTAATTGAACTGCGAAAAGTTGGTGCATTTATCCACGATGAGCTACCTCGTCGAAGACAGGTATTGAATTTTCTGACGAAAATGTGTGCTGGGGTGAGTTCGGGTTAACCCGTGTCTGATTTTAGAATTAACTTCAACAACCCCACTGTGGGAAAACCGGCGAATCTGCAAAATTCGGCCGTGTTGAGGATGCTGGAAGAGGAAGAGCAGCGGCAGAGGAGTGGCCAGTCACCAAGTAAGTGGCTGCTTTGTGAGACGGGGTGGTAACGTTTCGATTTCCGACTAATCGTTTCAAAATACAAATAACAAAATTTTGGTAACGTGGGCAAACTTTGCTGGATTACTCGCTGTTGTGGTGAGTGCAAAGTTTGGGTGTCCCGTTTTGAACGCTCGCAAGTGTACTTGATATTTTGATTATTTCGAGTCTGAGTCTTTTTAATACCTTGATAGGGTAAGCGACGTATGTTGATCTAATTACGTAAAGTGTGTGTTTGAAACTGCCACTTTCAACGAAATGTGCTGAAACTGTATATAATAATCTCGTTTGTGGGTTTATTTTGCTTCGTAGTGCAACTAAAAGCAGGTAGCGCATTTGAAAAATTGAGATAAGTTTTCATTTTTAAAATAAAGTTACAAAAACACATATAGTTCTGATTTTTTTCAAAATTTCTGCTACTACGAAAACTTGCTAAGAACCCGCTTCTGCTTAGCTTAATTTAAGCCAATATTTAAGCTTCGCATACTTGTAGCTTCAGAAAACGCAACAAAAATCGTGGAACTAAATATTCTGATGCTCATTAAAGCTATAACCTATAGAACCAAATCGTCTCCTTTTCAGAATCTGAGACGCTTGAACGAATTTGAATGTCCTGAGAAGATTTAGAGTGTTCAAAACACGTTGTTTCATACTTCAACTACAGAAATTTGATTAGAATACTTGATTTTTAGCTTCTTGAATCGTTTGAATGCTGAGGTATCTGAAATTTTAGAAAACATTTTGCCATCGTGAATATGTGTTTTGAATATTTCAGTTTTTAGATTTTGCAATTTCTCGATTTGCAATTTTTCTGTTTTCAATTTTTCGATGTTTCAACTTTTAGATTTTTCGACTTTTCGAATAAAAAAATGGAAAACTGCAAATATTTAAAATTGAAAAATCAAAAATGAAAAAACGAAAGAGTATAAAATAAAAACTTTGAAGACTTTGAAAATTGAAGAAACGAAAAAGTGATTTTTGACTTTTTCGATTCTCCAATATTTAGATTTTCCGACTTTGTAATTTTTCGATGTCTAGATTTTTCAATTTTTCAGTTTTTCAATTTTTCGATTTTTTTGTTTCGATTTCTTGATTTTTCAGTTTTTCGGTTCTTCAATTTCCCAAATTTCAATTTTTCGATGTGTGGATTTATAGAAAATTAGGGTAATTCGATTTCCCTATTTTTCAACTATTCGACTTCTCAACTTTTCAATTTCCCCATATTTCCATGCTTCGATTTCTTGGCGTACCGATTTTTGGACTTTTTGACTTTTCGATTTTCGTTTTTTCAATTTTTCGAATTTTCATATTTCAATTTTTCAATTTTTCGTTCTTCAAAATTTTTCAGTTTCTCAATTTATCGAGATTCCGTTGTTTCATTGTAAAAAAACGAAAAAGTATAAAATTGGAAATCAGGAGCTTGAAAAATTGAAAAATCAAAGGATTAAAAATTGAGAAACTTAAAAATCGGAAAAGTGCAAAATCTAAAAAACGAAATATGTATTGTAAAATCGAAATGTGAAGATTAAAGAAATCGGAAAATCGGTTAATTGGGAAATCCAAAAATTTTCAAAATTGAAAAAATTAAAAATAAATTGGAAAATCACGGGACTGAAAAATCGAAGATTGAAAATTTGAAGAATTGAATCAACGAATTAAAAAAAAGGAAATGAAAACACGAAAAACTGTGAAAATGAAGATTAAAAACTGGCAAAATATGTAAAATTGAAAACTTAAAAATGAAAAAACGAAAGAGTACAAAATAAAACTTTGAAGACTAAAAATTGGAAATCAAAAACTTGCAAAATTGAAGAAACGAAAAATTGATTTTTGACTTTCAACGATTTTCGACATTTTTGATTTTCCAATATTTCGATTTTCCAACTTTTCAATTTTTCGAGTTTCAGATTTTTCAATTTTTCGATTCTTCAATTTCCAGATTTTTCAATTTTTCGCTGTTGGATTTATAAATTTTGGGCTAATTCGAGTTCTCTATTTTTCAAGTTTTCGATTTTCTGATCTTTTCATGTTTCAATTTCTCCATGTTTCCATTTTTTGACTTTTTGGCTTTTCGTTTTTCCAATTTTTCAATATTTGGATTTGCCAATTTTTGACATTTTTGGTATTTTCCAATTTTTCGATTCTTGAATTTTTGGTTTTTCAATTTTTAGATTTTTTGTTGTTTCGATTTTACGATTAAATTTTTTTTTCCAATTTTTCGATTTTCGATGCTCCGATGTTTCTGTTTTTAGATTTTAAATTTTTTTTTCGATTTTTCGATTTCTTGATTTTTTAAGTTTTCGATTTTTCAATGTTTCAACATTTCAATTATTGTGGAAGATTTTCAATTCTTGGTTTTTTAATTTTTCCATTTTTTGTCCATTCTGTTACTCAATCTTTCGATTTGTCGAATTTTCTTATTTCTGGATTTTTTAATTTTTCCATTTTTTGTGGTTTCTATTACTCAATTTTCAATTTGTTGAATTTTCTTATTTCAGTTTTTCAATTTTCCGTTGTTTCAAATTTTTCAGTTTCTCAGTTTATCGAGATTCTGTTGGTTCAATGTTTCTGTTTTTTGATTTTGTAACTTTTCGTGTTAAAAAAAGTGGAAAAGGTACAAAATTGTAAAATGGAAAAGTCATAAATGAGAAAAACGAAAAAGTATGAACTGAAAATTTGAAAAACTTTGAAAAAATCAAAGTATTAATGAAAATGAAGAAACTTTAAAATCGAGAAAAAGTGTAAAATCTGAAAATGAAATATTATAAAATCCAAATATGAAAATTAAAGAAATGGGAAAATCGGATAATTGAAAAATCCAAAAATCGCAAAATTGAAAAATTTAAAAATATGTTGGAAAATCTTGGAATCGAAAAATCGAAGATTGAAAATTTGAAGAATTAAATAAACGAAAATTATAAAATCGAAAGAAAGAAAAGATAAAAAAAAGGATATGATAAAACGAGAAACTGTGAAAATGAAGACTAAAAATTGGAAATCAACAACTTGAAAAATTGGAGAAATGAAAAATTGATATTTGACTTTTTACGATTTTTGATTTTTCTGATTTTGCAATATTTCATATTCCGACTTTTCAATTTTTCGAGTTCTAGATTTTTCAATTTTTTTTATTCTTCAATTTCCAGATTTTTCAATTTTACGATGTTTGGATTTATAGAATTTGGGCTACTTCGATTTTTCAATTTTTCAATTTTTCGATTTTCCAATTTTTTATGTTTCAGTTTCTCCGTTTCAATTTTTTCGATTTATGTTTTTCCAATTTTTCGACATTTTTGGTAATTTCCAATTTTTAGATTTTTGAATTTTTTTTGATTTTTCAATTTTTCGATGTTACAATTTTTTGTTGCTTCGATTTTACAATTTTAAAACTTTTTAATTAAATTTTTCGATTCCCGACATTTGTTTTTTGATTTTGAAAATTTTTCGGCTTTTCAATTTTCCTTTTTCTTGATTTTTTAAGTTTTCGATTTTTCAATTTTGGAAGCTTTTCAATTTCCAGATTTTTTTATTTATTCATTTTTTTTGTTTCTATTACTCAATCTTTCAATTTTTCGAGTTTTCTTTTTTGGTTTTTCAATTTTTGGTTCTTTAATATTTTTCAGTTTCTCAATTTATCGAAATTCCGTTGTTTCAGTTTTTCAGTTTTTTGATTTCTGAATTTATCGTATAAAAAAATGTGCAAAATTTGAACAATTGAATAAACGAAAGATTATTCGAAGTCGAAAGAAACACTGAAAAAAAAATGGAAATGACAAAACGAAAAACTGTGAAAATGAAGATTAAAAAAATGAAAAAACTGCGAACATGTAAAATTGAAAAATCAAAGGATTAAAAATTGAAAAAATACAAAATCTAGCAAACGAAATATTATAGTCGAAATATGAAAATTGGGAAATCCAAAATTGCAACATTGAAAAATAAATTGGAAAAATCGCGAAATTGGAAAATCAAGGATTGAAGAATTTTTTGATTTAAAATTTTTGGGTTTTTTGATTCGATTCGGTTTCGCTTCTTAAAAATTTTTCGATTCATTAATTTTTTCCCAGTTTTAAGTTTCTCAATTTTTAAGTTTTCACTGTTTCGATTTTTCGTTTCTTCAGTTCGTCGACTTTTAATTTTTCGATCTTCCAACTTTTCGAGTCAAAAAAATGGAGAACTACAAACACGTAAAATTGAAAAATCAAAAATGAAAAAACGAAAATATAAAATAAAACTTTGAAGACTCTAAAAATTGGTGAAAAATTAAAGAAAAAAAGGAAAAATTGATTTTTGACGATTTTTGACTTTTTGATTTTTCAATATTTCGATTTTCCGACTTTTCAGTTATTTGAATTCTAGATTTTTCAATATTTCGATTTTCCGACTTTTCAGTTATTTGAATTTTTCAATTTTTCAATGTTTCAGTTTTTCATTTTTTTTGTTTCGATTTTTTGATTTTCCAGTTTTTCGATTCTTCAATTTCCCCATGTTTCAATTTTTCGATATTTCGATTTCTGGGTGTATCGATTTTTCGATTTTTCGGCTTTTCGATTTTCGTTTTTCCAATTTTTCGGTAACTGGATTTCCCAATTTTTCGACATTTTTGATATTTTCCAATTTTTGTATTCTTGAATTTTTTTGCTTTTTCAATTTTAAAATTTTTTAATTCAATTTTTCGAATTTTCAGTTCTCCGACATTTCTGTTTTTAGATTTTTTCTTGATTTTTTAAGTTTTAAATTTTTCAATTTTTTAACATTCCAATTTTGGAAGATCGAGATTCCGTTGTTTAAAATTTTCAGTTTTTTTATTTTTCAACTTTTCCTATGAAAAAAAAATGTAAAACTGAAAAATCAAACATGAAAAACGAAAAAGTATAAAATGAAAACTTGGAAATCAAGAGCTTGAAAGATTGACGGAACGAAAAATTGAAAAATCAAAAAAGTAAAAATCGAAAAAGTACAAAATCTAATAAGCGAAATATTATAAAGTCGAAATAAGAAAATTTGGAAATCCAAAATTGCAGAATTGAAAAATAAATTGGAAAAATCGCGAAATTGGAAAATCAAGGACTGAAAATTTGAAGAATCAAATAAAAAAAATCAGTGTTACAATTTTTCGATTTTACAGTTTTGACAATTCTGTAATTTTTCGCTCTTCCAACTTTGCGAGTCAAAAAAATGGACAACTGCAAACACGTAAAATTGAAAAATCAAAAATGAAAAAACGAAGGAAATTAATTTTTGACTTTTGACGAATTTGGACTTTTTTGATTTTCCAATACTTCGGTTTTCCTACTTTTCAGTTTTTTGTGTTCTAGATCTTTAAATTTTTCAAGTTTTCAGTTGTTCAATGTTTCAATTTTTAATTTTTCGATATTTGGATTTCCCATTTTTTGACATTTTTGGTAGTTTCCAAATTTTGGATTTCCCATTTTTTTGACATTTTTGGTATTTTCCAATTTTTGGAATCTTGAATTTTTTGCTTTTTCAATTTTTCGATTTTACGATTTTTTGATGTTTCCGTTTTACAATTTAAAATTTTTTTAATTCAATTTTTCGATTTTTAAATTTTTCGGCTTTTCGATTTCTTAATTTTTCAAGCTTCCGATTTTTCGATTAATCAACATTTCAATTTTGGAAGGTTTTCACTTCCTGAATTAGTTTTTTAATTTTTTTGTCATTTTCAATTTTTCGAATTTTCTTATTAAGTCTTTCGGTTTTTCAATTTTTCGTTCTTTAAAATTAAAAAATCGGGAAAATAAAAAATCAAAATCGGGATCGTATAATACCTCATTTAAAAAAAAAAAATGAAAAACGGAAAAATGAAAAACTCTGAAAATTATGATATCAAAAAATTGTAAAACAGAAGAAAAAGTAAAAACGAAAAAGTGTGATATTTTAATTTCTCAATTTTTATTTGGAATGTTTCGATTTTTCATTTCTTCACTTCTTTGTTAATTTTTCGATCTTTCAACTTTTCGAATCAAAAAAAATGGAAAAACTGCAAACACGTAAAATTGAAAAATCAAAAACGAAAAAATTAAAGAGTATAAAATAAAAATTTTGAAGACTATAAAAATTGGAAATCAACAACTTGAAAAACTGAAGAAACGGAAAATTGATTTTTGACTTTTGACGATTTTTCAATTTTTCAATTTTTTCGTGTTCCGATTTCTCAACTTTTTTAGTATTTCGATTCTTCAATGTCTTCATGTTTCCATGTTTCGAATTCTGGGTGTATCGATCAATTTATTGAGATTCCGCTGTTTCAATTTTTCCGTTTTTTGATTTTTCAACTTTCGGTATCAAAAAAAAGTGGAAAAATTGCAAAACTGTAGAATTGAAAAATCAAAAATGAAGAAACGAAAAATTAAAAAATCGAAGGATTAAAAATTGAGAAACTTAAAAATCGAAAAAGTGCAAAATATAAATAAAATGAAATGAAAAACGAAAATGAAGTTTAAAAAATCGAGAAAATGAAAAATCAAAATCAAAGTAATGAAAAACTGAAAAATCGAAAAATGAAAATTTTCGGAAAAATGGAGCGAGTCGTTCTTGATTTAACCAATACCATAAACTGCTTCATTCATGATTTTTTTTGAGTCACCCTGTATAACTAATTTTAAAAACATTTTTTAAGAGGGGATAAACGACTAAATTTAGACAAATGATTCACCACGTACGACAATCTTAAAATATTTGCAAGAAATGTTGTCATACAATTTTGATTTTTTTCCAAAAATCTGGATGTCTAGGGTGAAAAAAAAATCCTTTGTGAATTTTGAAAAACTACAAACCGAAGTTATTAGCAGCTAATAAAATACCCCCTTGACACGTCCATCGTTCAAACCATGTGCTTAAAAAATAAATAGAAAAGTTGGCCCGCGCTTAAAAAAATCCGTTAGCACTTGACAAAATATCGCACTTACTATAAAGTTTTTAATGGGCGCTGCGACCGTATTTTTGATTTTATTTGTTCAAGTGACTAACGTCTCCGAAGCCGCTTTTTCACAATTTCAAGGTTAAAAAAGTGCTCAGCTCTATTTTTCGTGCCTGAGTCATCAAACTTTTCCGAATTTTGTTTTTTGTGTTTTTGGTCTTTTCGCCTCGTCCGGAATGAGCAAATCTAGCCTCATTCCGCACGATAATTCGATTTCTATTTCCATCACTCGTTGTCCTCTATCGCTATTATTACTTGCGTATATTTCTTCCGCTGGACGTCTCAGCCAGATGATTAATATCAAGCGCCGATTAGTCAGTGTACGAAAATTCCTCAGGTAACGGCTATAGACCCCTTCGGGACCAAATAAAATGGCCGCCTCCGGATTTCGAACAGAAGAACCACCAAAGATCGTCATTCAAAGACGTCGTTACACCAGGTACCGAGTTTGCGCGTCATCCCCTCCAGAAAAAGGGATGAGCACCTCGTCACTGATTTTTGTGTTTTGTAGTGACTAACGTGACCAAGTGTACTTAAGTCACTTGTAGGTAACGCTGTGTGCTCTCACAAACTGTAACTAAACCCGTAGGTAGGTGGTGTCTTGGTTTTCGACTTTTCGGTTACGCTGTATACGTTTAATATTTACCTGCGAAACCAGGTGACCCGTCCGCCAAAACTACACTTTTAGAAACACCTCTTCGTACATGAGCAAGTAGCTTTAATTAAATTTTGAATTTCGGCCAATGCTAACATAAATATTAAGCAACGTTCATGTGATACCCGACGCGGTTTATAAATATTTTTATTGCCACATTCTGCGAAATTGCAGGTAGCACACCTCCATTTCGGTGTGTTTACATACACGACACGTTACTATTTTTAAAAAAACTAACCCTCTATGTCCAGAAGCCTCACGCCAGCTTCTGTTCAATGTTGTAAACCTTCAAACGTTGATAAATAAAAGTTTTTGTTGCGTTGGCAATTTATTTTAAGCAGCTCGCGGTGCATTTATATACGACTTTCGTATTTTCCAACAGGTCTCAAAAGAGTTGCCTGGCCTCCTCCGAACGAAGGCGAGAACTACGTCGAGCAGCCACCGGCACAAGCACAAGTAAGTACCAACCTAACCACCGTTTTCGCACCCCGTTGGCTCTCTAACTGCTTAAGTCACAATTCTGTCAAAAAAAAAATTTTTGGCTCACCCGTACACTTTATTGACAGCAGGCCAGAGGGTAGCGGGGAAAGCGAAGCTTGCAGTTTCCGCCGGTTTTCCTAGTGGGGGCATTCCAGACAAGATCAACAAACCCAACGCCATTTTAAATTCGTCTATACTAACATTTTTTTTTCTTTGATTCATTTTATAGTATTTGTATGATCGACCCTGAATGCCCCAACTGCTAATTGCACCTTCACCGTTTTGACTCTATCTACAATGAATATTTTTATCATTAGGGTGGGCCCCAGTACTCCTCTCAATCACCCACTTTGCAGAATAATTACACCCCCGCCCCGCAGGTGTCTCAAAGCCACTCCCGCCAGCCCCTCAAACCCCTCGACATTTCTAACGGCCACCCGCAGCCTGCGACTTCCCCCCTAGCGAATCAAAGCCCTTCTGGTTTCCGCCAGGCCCCGCCCGGCAGACCGTGGGCTCCGGTGCACTCCCCTGTGGCCACTCCCTCCCAGCCGCAATACCCATACCAAGCCCCGCCCCAGCAATACCAACCCTTACAACAGTATCAACCTAGTCAACCGCAAACCAAAATTTTTACTCAGCAACCTCCTCAATCGTCTGTTCAGACAGTGGCTGCGACAAACCAGGTATGGCGTATTTTTGAATTTGCGAAGGAATTAAGTGTTTTGTATTTATGCATTTATGCGACAAGAAGTTTTTGGGTTTGGATGGAATGAGGGTTTACCACTTGGCAGCGAGTTATTGCTCGAGGAACGTAAATATTTTGAAAGTGGTGGTAGCCATGATTAATTGTCGGGCTCTTGCCAAAAGTTGTTGCTAATTTTGTTGGAACATTCAAGAACTGCTGTAACGTCTAATGAATGTCCGAATTGTAAAGTTTCAGTACGCGATGCCATTTCCTGAAAATAAACACGGAGTTATTTTGTTTTTCGGAAATTTATTTCGTACTTTGTTGCATACAGTGTGTCCAACTTTGGTGCGAACTACTTTTGAAAGTTCTTTTTACTGGCAACTACAATTTTACCAAACTTGTGTGGTTTTTATCTTCATTTACAACATATTCTCAAAAATACGACGAGTGTTTAAAATATGTCACATATATAGGGTGTTTCATTTAAGTTCTTTGATAATTGTACAGTGTGTCTTTGAAGAACAACATACGACTTATTTTTTTCTTAACTCTAACTCCCTACACATTTTTAGATGTAATGATTGACGTTTTCCACACTTTACAAATACATACACTATATTTTTGAAATTCCATTATGCTTTAACTGGAACTGAAAAATCGACTTTATGCACAAAAAACCTAAAAAAGAGAGAGAAAGAAAATAATAGCAAAAAAATCTGGAATACCCATACGATTTCAAATTCAAATTTTTAAAAAATTCTAAAGATTGTCACATTTTCTTTTGACGATTTTGAAGAAACGGTAGAAATTTTCCAAGAAATTAAGCAAGTGGTTCCGGATTTGACGATTCTGGAAAATCATAAAAATTTTAGATGAAATGAAGCCGAAATATAACTCCGAAGTTTGAAATCACCCCAAGAAATTATATACGTGTATTCCTGTTTAATTTTCAAAGGTTGTCGAGAAAACAGTCAAAAATTTTAAACTGAAAAATTGGGCGTTTTTCAAAATTGCCTAAAAATCTATATCAAAATTCTGGGATACAAATCTCGATGCGATGGGCTGAATCGAAAAACATAGCGTGTTGACTGTTCCCGAGTAAAATTTTCGAAATATTCGGTTTTAAAAAGTAATATTCCAGTAACTGCCATATTTCAATTTGGCGCTTCTGGAAAAACCATAAGAATTTTTGAAGAAATGAAAACGAAAAACACTTTCGAAGGTTGAAATCAACCGAAGAAATTATTCGTTGACTCTCAATTTTTAAGGTGTTCCAAAAAAGTCAAAAATGTGTATCGAAAAATTGAGCTTTCGAGAAAATTGCCAAAGAATGTATAGAAAATTCTGGGATATACATCCCGGAAAACATAGTGAGATTTTCCAAATATTCGGTTTTAGACTCCCATTTTTAAAATATTCCAAAAGTGCCATATTTCAATTTGGCGATTTTGGGCAAACAATAAAAATTTTCGAAAAAATGGAGCCGAAATTGAAATTATTTACTTGATTTTCAAATATGTTCGAGAAAAAATCGAAAATATAATGAAAAAATGAGCTTTTGACGAAATTGCCCAAAAATTCATAAACAATTCCGGGATCTACATCGGTATGAACTGAATCGAAAATATATATAAATTTTCCGTTTTGAAAAAAAAAGTTATAAGACTTTTTGAAGAAATGAAGACGAAAAAGTTTCAAAGCTGTTTTAGAAAAGTTACAAGATTTAATACTGAAAAAATGAAATTTTGACAAAATTATCTAAGAATCATCTAAAAATATATCGTGTTGATAATTACCGAGCAAAATGTTCAAAATATTCGGTTTTAAAAACTGATTTTTGAAATAATCCAATAATTGCCAAATTTCAATTTGGCGATTCTGGAAAAACGATAAGAATTTTCAAAGAAACGAAACTGAAAAAAATTTTCAAAAGTGTTCTAAAGAAAGTCAAAAATTTCATATTGCAAAAATTGAATTTTGGACAAAATTGCCTAAAAATCCATTAACAATACTGGGATATAGATCTTGAAGGGTTTAATCCTTAAACATTGTGTGTTGATGGTCTTGCAGATTTTTGGAAAATTCAATTTCAAAGTCAGATTTTTAAAAAATCAAAAAATTGTCATATATTCTCTTTACGATTTTGAAGAAACGGTAGGAATTTTCGAAGAAATTAAGCGGAAAAACACTCCTGGAGACCAGAATGAACAAAGGAAACGCATTCGGAAAATGGTTTTTTTTTTTTTAATTTGAAAAACTGAGCTTTTTACAAAATTGCCGAAGAATTCATAAAAAATTCTGGGATGTAGATCTTGATGGGCTTAACGGAAAAACATAGCGTGTTGATGGTTCCGGACCAAGATTTTCGAAATATTCGATTTTGAAATTTGAATTTTAAAATATCCTAAAAGTGCCTATTTTACTTGACAGTTCTGAAAAAATTGTACAGATTTTCAAGGAAATCAAGACGAAAAACACTTTGTGAGGTTGAAATCAAAATCAAAAATTGAGCTTTCGACAAAATTGACTAAAAATCTATAAAAAATGCTGGGATAGAAATCTCGAAGGGTTTAATCCAAAAACACTGTGTGTTGATGGTCTTGGATAAAGATTTTTGGAAAATTCGGTTTCAAAATCACATTTTTAAATAAATTCAAAAATTGTTATAGATTCTCTTTACGATTTTTTTTTTCGAAGAAACTTAGCGCAAAAATGATTTCGAACATCTGAATGAACAAAGAAAACTCTCTAGGGGATTTTCTGTTCGGAAAATGACGATTTTTTTAATTTGAAAAATTGAGCTTTTTACAAAGTCGCCGAAAAGTCCACAACAAATTCAAGCACACAGATCTTGATTAGCTGAATCGAAGAATAGCGTGTTGATGGTTCCGGAGAAAAATGTTCGAAATAGTCGGACTGATTTTTAAAATTTTCCAATAATTGCCATATTTCAATTTGGCGATTCTGGGAAAACCATAATAATTTTCTAAGAAAGGAAACCGAAAAACACTTTCAAAGGTTGAAATCAACCCAAGAAATGATTACTAAATTTTCGAGTGTGTTCGAGAAAAAGTAAAAAAATGTATGTTGAAAATTGAGCTACCGATAAAATTGTCTAAAAAACAATAAAAAAAAAAAGTTCGAAAAATGCCATCTTTCAATTTGGCGATTTTGGACAAATAATAAAAATTTTCAAGGAAAGGAATCCGAAAAACACCTTGGAGTTTGAAAGCAGCCCACGAAATTATTTACATAATTTTCAAAAATATTCGAAAAAAAGTCAAAAATATGTACATTGAAAAATTGAGCTTTTGACAAAATTGACTAAAAATTCATAAAAAATTCTGGGATGTAGGTCTCGATGAGCTGATCGGAAAACACAGCGTTTTGATGGCGCCGGACCAAGATTTTCGAAATATACGGTTCTAATCGAATTTTTAAAATATTCCAAAAATGCTTATTTCAATTGTACGATTCTGGGGAAAATAATGCGAATTTTCGAAGAAATTAAGTCGAATAACACTTCCGGAGGTTGAAATCAATCCAAGAAATTATTTACTTAATTTTCAAAAGTGTTCTAGAAAAAATCAAAAATTTGATGTGGCAAAAATTGAGCTTTTGACAAAATTGCCTAAAAATCCATAAAAATAGTGGGATATAGATGTTGATGGGTTTAATTAAAAAACATAATAGTGTGTTGATGGTCTTGAACGAAGATTTTCGAATATTCGGTTTCAAAGTTAGATTAAAAAAAAAAAAAACAAATTGTCTTTTTTTTATGCGATTTTGAAGAAACGGTAAAAATTTTCGAAGAAATTAGGCGGAAAAACAAGACGTCAAAATGAACTTTTTTAGAAAAATACCAATTTTTTTTTAATTTGAAAAATTGAGCTGAAACGAAAAACAACGTGTTGATGGTTCTGGGGCCAGATTTTCGAAATATTTGGTTTTTAAAACTGATTTTCAAAATATTCCAAAAGTGCCTTATTTTAGTTCGGTGATTCTGGAAAAATTATAAGAATTTTTGAAATAATGAAGCCGAAAAAACTTCCAGAGATAGTAAGCAACCCAAGAAATTGTTTACTTAATTTCCAAAGGTGCTTAGGAAAAGTCAAAAATTTGATATTGAAAAATTGAACTTTTGACAAACTTGCCTAAAAATCCTTTAAAAAAAATCCGGGTTATAGATCTCGATGGATTGAATCGAAAAATGTAGTGTGTTTGATTGTCGCAGACCAAGATTTTCGAAATATTCGGTTTTAAAATCTTAGTTTTGAAATATTCCACGAGGTGCCAGTTTCAATTCTGGAAAAATAATACGAATTTTCGAAGAAAAGAAATCTAAAAACATTTCCAGAGGTTGAAACCAGCCCAATAAATTATTGAACTAATTTTCAAAAGTATTCGAAAAAAAGTAAAAAAATTCATCCTGATAAATTGAGCTTCTGGTGAAATTCACTAAAAATCTATAGAAAAAAAAAAATTGGGGTGTAGATTTCGATGGACTGCATCAAGATTTTCAAAATATTCAGTTTTAAAATCTTCTAAAAGTACCATATTTCTGTCAACGATTCTGAAAGAATTATAAGAATTTTCGAAAAAATGAAGCCGAAAAACACTTGCGGAGGTTGAAAACAACGCAAGAAATGATTTACGTAATTTTGAAAGCTGTTTTTAAAAAATAAAAAAACCGATACTGAAAAAATGAGCTTTTGTTAAAATGATCTCTCCATCTATAGAAAAGTTTTATACAGATCTAGGATTTTCGAAATATTCGGTTTAAAAGTCAAATTAAAAAAAAAAAAATCAAAAATCGTCATTTTCTTTTTACGATTTTGAAGAAACGGTAGGAATTTTCCAAGAAAATGAACGGAAAAACACTTTCGCACGTCAGAATGAACAAAGAAAACCCTTTAGGCGATTTTCAGGTGTTTGGAAAATTCCCATTTTTTTTTTAATTTGAAAAATTGAGCTTTTTACAGAACTATTGAAAAGTCCATAAAAAATTTAAGCGTACAGATCTGGACTAGTTATTCGGTTTCAAAAACTGATAAGAATTTAAAAAAAAAAACGAAACCGAAAAACATTTTCGAAGTTTGAAATCAACCTAAGAAAAGTCAAAAAATGTTATGTTGAAAAATTGAGCTCTCGGTAAAATTGTCTAAAAATCCAAAAAAAATTCTGGGATATTCATCCCGATGGGCTAAATCGAAAAACATAGTATGTTGATGGTTCCGAACTGAGATTTTCCAAATATTCGATTTTAGAATTTAATTTTTAAAATATTCCAAAAGGGCCATATTATTTCAATTTGTCGATTTTGGACAAATAATAAGAATTTTCGAAGAAATGAAGCCCAAAAATACTTCCGGACGTTGAAATCAACCCAAGAACTAATTATTTAATTTTCAAAGGTGTTTGAGAAGACGTCAAAAATTTCATCTTGAAAAACTAACCTTTTGGCAAAATTGTCTAAAAATCAAGAAAAAATCTGGGATATACGTAGATCTCGACAGGATGAATCTAAAAATATAGCGTGTTGGTGGTTTCAGATCAAGATTGTCGAAATATTCGGTCTAAACATATGCTTTTTAAATTACTCAAAAAGTGCAATATTTCAATTTGGAGATTTCGGAAAAATGATAAGAATTTTCACAAAAATGAACTTGAAAAACACTTCCAGAGTTGGAAATCAACCCAAGAATTCATTTGTGTACTTAATTTTAATTCGAGAAAAAGTCAAAAATTTTTATTAAAAAATTGAGCTCTTGGCAAAATCGTCCAAAAATCCAAAAAAAATCTGGAATGTAAATCTCGATGGGCTGAATCGAAAAACATAGCGTGTTGGTGTTTCGAACCAAGATTGTCGAAATATTCGGTTTAAAAATATGATTTTCAAAAAAAAATCCATAAATACCGACTTCAATTTGGCGATTTTGAAAAATGATAAAATTTTCGAAGAAACGAAACCGAAAAACACTTCCAGAGATTGAAATCAATCCAACAACTAATTTATTTAATTTTCAAAGGTGCTGGAGAGAAAGTCAATAAGCTCATATTGACAAATTGAGCTTTCCACAAAATTGTCTAAAAAATCCAGAAAAAAAATCTGTGATATAGATTGTTTTTTTTTTTACTTAATACATATAGTTTTTTTTGAGCAACACCATCACTGAAGAACATGTTTCACATAGTAATTTCTCGTGGAAAAATACGGATTTTGCAATTAAGCTCCGCCCCCCTTGACTAACGACGAACAAGGAAAAAGCGTCACAATTGAGATTGGGTGGGTGGGTAGGGCTTATGTTTTTCTTTTTTTTTTTTCTTCTTAATAGGTATATATTATGTTTTCTACATAACAAGAAACTGAAAACATGTTTAAAATGGTAAATTTTATCCCATACACTTCTCTACAAATTTCCGCTTTTAAATATGTTTTCAGCTTCTTGTTGTGAAAAGAAAAGTACGTATACATTAAGAAAAAAAGAGTAAAATATAAGCCCCGCCCACCCGCCCTATCTCAATTGTGATGATTTTTTTATTCGTTGTCAGAACGAGGGGCGGAGCCTAACCGCAAAATCCAATTTCCTTACAAAAATTTAGCATTTTAAACGTGTTTCAAGTTTCTTATAGTTTGTTTTTTTTCTTAATACACTTAGTATTTGTTGAACAACACGATACTCAAACACATGTTTTTAATTCCTTGTAAAGAAATAAGTATTTTGCAGTTGAGCTCGCCCCCTTGGTTCACGACGAATAAAAAAATCATCACAATTGAAATAGGGCGGGTGGGCGGGCTTACATTTTGTCTTTTTAATTTAATGTGTGTAGACTTCTTTTCACAACATGAAACTTAAAACATGTTTAAAATGGAAAATTTGTATAAGGAAATTAGACTCCGGCCCACAATTGCAAGATCCATATTTCCTTGCAAAAAATGTACCATTTTACCCATGTTCTAAGTTTCTTGTTATGAAAAGATGGCTACGTATATTAAGGAAAATAAAAAGGCAAAATATAAACCCCGCCCACCCGCCCTCAGCTCAATTGTGATAATGTTGATTATTTCTCTACAAGAAATTACTATGTATTTAAGTAACATGTAATTGAACGGAAACTATATATGTTAAGGAAAAAAATCCAAAAAATAAACCCCACCCACCCGCCCCAATCTCAATTGTGAGGAATTTTTCATTGGTTGTCAGACCGAGGGGCGGAACTTAATTGTAAAATCCATGTTTCCGGATCAAGATTTTCCAAATTTTGAGTTTTGAAGTCCGATTTTTAAATATCCTGAAAGTGCAATATTTCAATTTGAAGATCTTGGAAAAATGATAATAATTTTCGGAAAAATGAAGTGGGAAAACACTCCCAGAGTTGGAAATCGACCGAAGAATTTATTTATTTAATTTTCAAAGGTGTTCTTGAAAAGGTCGAAAATTTTATGCTGATAAATTGAGCTTTTAACAAAATTGCTTAAAAATCATTAAAAAATTCTGGGATATAAAATTTTTGCTGGCAGGTGTACATACAAACTTTACAATTGTTCAATTAATTTGCCAACATAGTTGAATCGATACGTATTAAATTAAAACCAGTGGATTACTCTTCATTTCCACGACCCGAGGACCACTATGCATAAATAGATAAACATGTTTTTTAAAATCAGTGCAAACTGAGTGTTTTTTCCATTTTTGTCGCAATAGTTTAGATTTTTGTCTTCTACTAAAACCCAGCAGTCGCATTCTCATTTCCAAATTTTCTCTGTGCAGGCAGCTCCGTACTCAGCGGCTAGACCCGTCGAACCCCCTCCAGCCACAATCACTCTTCGTGCGCAGGCTCCAGTGAGCCAGGCTCCTCCCCCAGTAGTGACATCACAACCAGCCACGGCGACCCTAAAAGGTATTAAGCAAATTTTGTGCCCAAAAGACATATAACTGTCCGAAAATTGTTTCAGGCGGCAAGAACCTCCGCGGGGACTTGAAATGGCCCCCCGAGAACGTCAAGAGCCAAATCGAGGAAGAAAATAAGCAGCGCGTCGAGCTGGCCCGAGGCCCCGCCTTCAGGCCACGCCTCGTGCGCAAAGATTACGGCCCTTTCTTCGCCCAGCACGCCCTTAATAGCTCGTACCCCGGCTACAAAGCGCCCCCGGGTACCCAGTTCTACGACCACAGAGCCGTATATTAAGCCCTTTGTGTATGCAACATCAATTTGAATTGGTAGTTTATAGTTAACGACGCTACGTTTGTGATAATGCTGAACTGATTAGCTAAATTACTAACACGAATTAGAGCAGGAAAGATGTATAAATTTTTATTAAAAATGTGTAATCCCATAAAAATGAACGAGTTTCAGCCGCTTGCCGAACCATAGCGATTTTTCAGATCGAATTCGATTCGAGCTTTGCTATTGTTGCAAATTATTTTTAATGTAAGGTTAAATGATTTATATTTGTACCATGTACGCCCTTTAAATATTAAATAAATTATATCGTAAAAATAAATCGATTTATTCATACAAAATATATACAAGCTGACACTTTAAGGTATAACAAATCAACAAAGGACAAGCAACATGGTTCGATTGCGTCAGTTTGTTCTTTCGATTACACTCCATACCTCACCGGCTTCGAATCCCGAGATCACTTACACCTATTGACCACAAATTAAATTTTGAGTTTTGCAGTACGGTGTATAAATGCGAAAATTTAAAAAGCACGTTTGAAACGTACCTAATATACATACTCTAACACAAAAATGGAATCAGTATAAAGTATAAAACTTTTATGAAATAATAAGTAACATAATTTAACAATGCATCACACTAGCGAAAATCCCTGCGTCTGTTGAATCGCTTGCGTTAACTTATACTTGAGTTTCTCTTTCGTTTTGTACCTGGGCAGATCCAACAGATTGAAACAAGTATGAGCAACCGGCAAGAATTTGTCATCGTTTGTTGGCTGTATAATAATCTGCAAAAGTGTTATTTAAGAGAAGTTTACCGGAAACGTCCACTTACTTTAATGGCTTTCATCCCCTGAATCGGAATTCTATCACTTCCAGTCAAAAACAATAAAAATTTCTTTTTGTCGGGTAAAGGCAACTCGTGTATCACTTCCCAAAACCACCGAATCGTTTTGTCCGAGGAGGTGTAGCCGTTTTTGTATTCGGCTACTTCTTCCAGAGCGTGCCAGTCGTAGTTTTCGTTACCGACCACCACCGCCATTAATTCGTGGGAGTGGAATAATTGCAGCACTCTACCACCGCACACCTTCATGAAACCCTCGTGGTAAGCGGTATATTGCTTGTGTATAGACGTATTAAAAATATAATCTATGTACAGATTTACGTATTCTTCTCTGAAAAAAATAGAGTACTTCTTACATGTATTCAAAAAAGCTGTCTTATAGAAGCGATTGCACAAGACAGTTTTCGAGAGACCGCTTAACTATGACCAATGGTATGATTTAATTTCCGCAGTGGTGACCAATCACAACAAAGCACATGGCGCCAAATTTAAACTGGCGCAAATTCAATATTCGTATTTTTTTGTATTGTCTCAATTTTAGATTTTTATTTCAGTTTTTCACATTTGAATTTTTTGAATATTAATTTTTCGATTTCTGAGTTTTTTGTCTTAATTTTTAGAGTTTTTAATTTATAATGTTTTGATTTTACAACTTCTGAATGTTTAATTTTTTCAATTTTTCCAATTTTTTTTGATACATTCCATTTTTCGATTTTTTAGTGTTTCAATTTTTATTTTGCAACTTTTCGGTTTTTCAGTTTCTCATAATTTCAATTTTTCGCTTTCTGTATTTTCGATTTTTCCATTTTATAACTAGATTTCACAATTTTTTTCTTCGATTTTTTGTTTTTAGATTTTCCGTTTTTTTCAATTTTTCTAGTTCCTAATTTATAACTTTTGCAGATTGTTCAACTACCAGATATTTTATTTTTGTTTTTTCAACTATTGGAGTTATAAATTTTTAATTTTTCGACTTTTCAACGTGTAGATATTTTCATTTTTTGTTTGTCATTTTTCGAGCTTCCGATTCAAAATTTTTCGATTTTTAGTTACTATACTTTTATTTTCTCAGATCTTGATTTTCCGATTTTTTCGCTTCTGAATTCTTCGTTTCTTCAATTTTCCGTTTTTCAACTCTGAAAGTCTTCACTTTCTCGATTTTTTATTTTTTTCGATTTTAAAATTTTTCATTTTTTTCAATTGAATTTTTTAATTTTTCGATTTTCAGTCATTTGTTACCTCAATTTTCTGGGTTTTCAATTTATAATTTTTTGATTTTTCACCTTTTGAATTTTTTATTTCATTTTTAAATTGTTCATTTCTTCAGTTCGATAAGTTGTTGACTTTTCAATCATTGGATTTTTTCTTCAGTTCGATAATTTGTTGACTTTTCAATCATTGGATTTTTTTGAATTTTTAATTTTGCCATTTTCAATAGGATTTTTAATTTTTCATTTTTGAATTAATTTTTTTGATTTTTAAATGTTTCGTTTCTTCGGTTCGATTATTTTTTGATTTTTCAATCATTGGATTTTAAAAATTTTTGATTTTTAATTTTGCCATTTTTCAGTTTGTTTTATCAATTTTTCAGTTGTACCGATTTTTCTATTTTCGTTTCAATTTTTCGGTGTTTCAACTTCTAAGTTTTTAAGTTTCTTGATTTTTATTTTTTGATATCCAATTTTTTGGTTTGCAATATTAAATTTTTTAAATTTTAAAAAGTTTTCGTTTTTTCGATTCTATGATTATTTTTCGAAATTATGAGATTTTTTAATTTTTCAATTGGATTTTTTTCATTTTTCAATTTAAGTCTTTCAATATTTCCATTTTTTGTTTGATCAATTTTTCAACTTTTCATTTCTCCAATTCGATTATTTTTTTTTATTTTCAAATTTTTGGTTTCTTCAGTTCGATTATTTTTTCATTTTTCAATCATTGGATTTTTATTTTGCCATTTTTCAATTAGATTTTTTAATTTTTCAATTTTTTGATTTTATATAATCTGAGTTTTTGATTTTTCAAGTTTTAGATAAAAACCCTTTTTTTCTTCAATTTTTCAGTTTTATAGGTTTTTCGATTTTTGAATTCTTCGTTTTTTCAGTTTTTCGAATTTTATTTCTGCAAATTTTCAGTTAGAATTCGTTTTCAATTTTTCGATTTTTAACTTTTCAATTTTCAGTTTCTCGATTTTTATTTTTCGATTTGCAATTTTTCTAGTTTTCAATATTAAATTTTTCAATTTTTAAATTTTTCGTTTTTTCAATTTTACGATTATTTTTCGATTTTTTTTATTAATTTTTTAATTGAATTTTTTCATATTTCGATTTGCTTTCAATGTTTCGATTTTTTTTGACTTTTTTATCACGGAATTCTTAAAATTTTCGATTTTTAATTTTTCAATTTTCGATTTGAGCTTTTCGTTTTTTCAGTTTTTCATTTGTTCAATTTTCCGAATTTTTAATTTATAATTTGTCGAGTTTTCATGTTTTGAATTTTTTATTCTTAAATTTTTCATTTTTTTTAGATCGATTATTTTTTGATTTCTCAATCATTGGATTTAAAAATTTTTTGATTTTACGATTTTTTTTTTATAGATTTTGGACTTTTCAATTCTTTGTTTTTTCAATTTTTCGATTTTTAATTTTACAATTTTTCAATCAGAATTTATTTTCAATTTTCCGATCGTTTAACTTTTGAATTTTCAGTTTCTCGATTTTTATTTTTTGCTTTGCAATTTTTCTAGTTTTCAACATTAAATTTTTCGATTTGAGTCTTTCAATGTTTCAATTTTTTAATTTTTCAATTTTTTTAATTTTTCAATTTTTCACTTCTTCAATTCGATAATTTTTTTATTTTTCCATCATTGGATTTTATAAATTTTTGGCTGTTAATTTTTCCATTTTTCGATTTGAGTTTTCGAATTTTTCAAATATTATTTTTTTGTATTTTTCAACTTTTAGATGTTTTATTTGTTTTTTCAATTTTTCATTTTTTATAGATATTTCGATTGTTCAATTCTTCGTTTCTCAGTTTTCGGACTTTTAATTTTGCAATTTTTCAATCATGAGGTTTCTTAATTTTTCAATTGGATTTTTTTCATTTTAAGTCTTTCAATATTTCCATTTTTTGTTAGTTCAATTTTTCAACTTTTCGTTTCTTCAATTCGATTATTTTTTTTTTATTTTGTAATTTTTCAATCTTTCGATTTGACCTTTTGATCTGATTTTTTTGATTTTTCAATCATTGGATTTTTATTTTGCCATTTTTCAATTAGATTTTTTAATTTCTCAAGTTTTAGATTTTACTTTTTTCTTCAATTTTTCAGTTTTATAGATTTTTCGATTTTTGAATTCTTCGTTTTTTCAGTTTTTCGATTTTTTAACTTTTCAATTTTCAGCTTCTCGATTTTTATTTTTCGATTTGCAATTTTTCTAGATTTCAATATTAAATTTTTCAATTTTGAAATTTTTCGTTATTTTAATTTCACGATTATTTTTCGATTTTTTTAATTAATTTTTCAATTGAATTTTTTCATATTTCGAATTGAATCTTTCAATGTTTCAATTTTTTTTTGTTCAATTTTTCGTTTCTTCGATTCGATTTTTTTTTTTTGATTTTTTGATCACCGAATTCTTCGTTGTTTCAGTTTTTCGAATTTTTGACTTTTTATTTTTCAGTTTCTCGATTTTTATTTTTCGATTTGCAATTTTTCTAGTTTTCAATATTAAATTTTCCGATTTTTAAATTTTTCGTTTTTTCAATTTTACGATTATTTTTCGATTTTTTTTTAATTAATTTTTCAATTGGATTTTTTCATTTTTCGATTTGAATCTTTCAATGTTTCAATTTTTTATTTTTCCATTTTTCGATTTGAGCTTTTGGTTTTTTCAGTTTTTCGTTTTTCGTTTGTTCAATTTTCCGAATTTTTAATTTATAATCTTTCGAGTTTTCATTTTTTGAATTTTTGATAAGATAATTTTTTATTCTTAAATTTTTCATTTCTTTAGATCGATTATTTTTTCATTTCTCAATCGTTGAATTTTAAAAATGTTTGATTTTACGATTTTTTTATAGATTTTGGACTATTGAATTCTTTGTTTTTTCAATTTTTCGATCGTTTAACTTTTCAATTTTCAGTTTCTCGATTTTTATTTTTTTATTTGCAATTTTTCGAGTTTTCAACATTAAATTTTTAAATTTTTCGATTTGAGTCTTTCAATGTTTCAATTTTTTAATTTTTCAATTTTTTTAATTTTTCAATTTTTCGTTTCTTCAATTCGATTATTTTTTATTTTTCAATCATTGGATTTTATAAATTTTTGGCTGTTAATTTTTCCATTTTTCGGTTAGATTTTTTAAATTTTCTATTTTTTGATTTTACGATTTGAGTTTCCGAATTTTTCAAATATTATTTTTTTGTATTTTACAACTTTTAGATATTTCATTGCTTTTTCAATTTTTCATTTTTATAGATATTTCGATTGTTCAATGCTTCGTTTCTCAGTTTTCGGATTTTTAATTTGGCAATTTTTCAATTTTTGGTTTCTTTAATTTTACGATTATTTTTCGATTTTCAATCATGAGATTTCAATATTTCCATTTTTTGTTTGTTCAATTATCTGTTTCTCGATTTTTATTTTTTGATTTGCAATTTTTCTAGTTTTCAATATTAAATTTTTCGTTTTTTCAATTTTACGATTATTTTTCGATTTTTTTTTTATTAATTTTTCAATTGAATTTTTTCATATTTCGATTTGAATCTTCCAATGTTTCAATTTTTTGTTGTTCAATTTTTCGATTCTTCGATTCGATTTTTTTTTGATTTTTTGATCACCGAATTCTTAAAATTTTCGATTTTTTCTTTTTCCATTTTTCGATTTGAGCTTTTCGTTTTTTCTGTTTTTCATTTCTCCAATTTTTCGAATTTTGAATTTATAATTTGTCGAGTTTTCATCTTTTGAATTTTTTATTCTTAAATTTTTTTAGATCGATTATTTTTTGATTTCTCAATCATTGGATCCGAATTCTTAAAATTTTCGATTTTTTCTTTTTCGATTTTTCGATTTGAGCTTTTCGTTTTTTCTGTTTTTCATTTCTCCAATTTTCCGAATTTTGAATATATAATTTGTCGAGTTTTCACCTTTTGAATTTTTTATTCTTAAATTTTTCATTTTTTTAGATCGATTATTTTTTGGTTTCTCAATCATTGGATTTAAAAATTTTTTGATTTTACGATTTTTTTTTTAGATTTTGGACTATTGAATTCTTTGTTTTTTCAATTTTTCGAATTTTAATTTTACCATTTTTCAATCAGAATTTGTTTTTTTCTAGTTTTCAACATTACATTTTTCAATTTTTAAATTTTTCGATTTGAGTCTTTCAATGTTTCAATTTCTTAATTTTTCAATTTTTTTAATTTTTCAATTTTTCGTTTCTTTAATTCGATAATTTTTTTATTTTTCAATCATTAGATTTTATAAATTTGTGACTGTTAATTTTTCCATTTTTCGATTAGATTTTTTAAATTTTCTATTTTTTGATTTTACGATTTGAGTTTTCGAATTTTTCAAACATTATTTTTCTGTATTTTTCAACTTCTGTATTTTTCAACTTTTAGATGTTCTATTTGTTTTTTCAATTTTTCATTTTTATAGATATTTCGATTGTTCAATTCTTCGTTTCTCAGTTTTCGGATTTTTAATTTTGAAATTTTTCAATTTTTGGTTTGTTTAATTTTACGATTATTTTTCGATTTTCAATCATGAGATTTCAATATTTCCATTTTTTGTTTGTTCAATTTTCCAACTTTTCGTTTCTTCAATTCGACAATTTTTCTATTTTTTTAACATCGAATTTTTAAAATTTTCGATTTTTAATTTTTTAATTTTTCAATCTTTCGATTTGACCTTTTATTTGATTTTTTGATTTTTACATTTTTGGTTTCTTCAGTTTGATTATTTTTTGATTTTTCAATTTTTTGATTTTATGATCTGAGTTTTTGATTTTTCAAGTTTTAGGTTTTACGTTTTTCTACAATGTTTCAGTTTTATAGATTTTTCGATTTTTGAATTCTTCGTTGTTTCAGTTTTTCGAATTTTAATTCTGCAAATTTTCAATTTCAATTGGTTTTCAATTTTTCGATTTTTAACTTTTCAATTTTCAGTTTCTCGATTTATATTTTTCGATTTGCAATTGTTCTTGTTTTCAATATTAAATTTTTCATTTTTCAATTTTACGATTACTTTTCGATTTTTTTTTAAATTAATTTTTCAATTGGATTTTTTCATTTTTGGATTTGAGTCTTTCAATGTGTGAATTTTTTGTTGTTCAATTTTTCAATTTTTCGTTTCCTCGATTCGATTTTTTTTTTATTTTTCGATCAACGAATTCTTAAAATTTTCAATTTTTCGATTTTTCAACTTTAAAATTTTTCAGTTTTCTGATTTTTATTTTTCGATTTGCAATTTTTCTAGTTTTCAATATTAAAGTTATCGTTTCTTCAATTGTTACGATTATTATTTTTCGATTTTTCAACTATGAGCTTTTTTATTAATTTTTCAATTGGATTTTATTATTTTTTCGATTTGAGTCTCTGTGTTTCAATTTTTTATTTGTTCAATTTTTCAACTTTTCGTTTCTTCAATTCGATAACTTTTTTGATTTTTCAATTATCGAATTTTTAAAATTTTCGATTTTTAATTTTTCAATTTTTCGATTTGGACTTTTTTTTTGATTTTTAATTTTTTCGATTCTTCAATTCGATAATTTTTTTGTTTTTCAATCATTGGATTGTTAAAATTTTTGATTTTGCCATTTTCAATTACATTTTTAATTCTTCAATTTTTTAATATTACGATTTGAGTTTTCGTTTTTTTCAACTTTTAGATATTTTATTTGTTTTTTCAATTTTTCAGTTTTATAGATTTTTCGATTTTTGAAATCTTCGTTTCTTCAGTTTTTCGATTTTTATTTTATTTTCCGATTTTTCAATGATGAGACTTTTTATTACATTTTCAATTGGATTTTTTCATTTTTCGATTTGAGTCTTTCAATGTTTCAATTTTTTGTTTGTTCAATTTTTCAACTTTTCGTTTCTTCAATCCGATTTTTTTTATTTTTTGATTATTGAATTTTTAAAATTTTCGGTTTTGAATTGTTTTATTTTTTAGTTTTTCGATTTGGGCTTTTTGGTTTTTCACCTTTTGAACTTTTGATTTGATTTTTTTTATTTTTAACTTATTCGTTTCTTCAGTTCGATAATTTTGTTATTTTTCAATCATTGGATTTTTAAAATTTTTGATTTTTAGTTTTGACATATTTCAGTTTTATAAATTATTCGATTTTTGAATTCTTTGTTTTTTCAGTTTTCGATTTGCAATTTTTCTAGTTTTCAATATTAAATTTTTCGTTTTTTCAATTTTACGATTGTTTTTCGATTTTTTTTTAATTAATATTTCAATTGGATTTTTTCATTTTTCGATTTGAATCTTTCAATGTTTCAATTTTTCGTTGTTCAATTTTTCGGAATTCTTAAAATTTTCGGTTTTTAATTTTTCAATTTTCGATTTGAGCTTTTTGTTTTTTCAGTTTTTCGTTTGTTCAATTTTCCGAATTTTTAATTTATAATTTGTCGAGTTTTCATCTTTTGAATTTTTGATTAGATTTTTATTTTTAAATTTTTCATTTTTTTAGATCGATTATTTGATTTCTCAAATATTGGATTTAAATATTTTTTGATTTTACGATTTTTTCAAATATTGAATTTTTCGATTTTCGACTTTCGATATTTTAATTTTTTCAATTTTTCAGTTTTATAGATTTTGGATTTTTGAATTCTTTGTTTTTTCAATTTTTCGATTTTTAATTTTACCATTTTTCAGTCAGAATTTGTTTTCAATTTTTCGATCGTTCAACTTTTCAATTTTCAGTTTCTCGATTTTTATTTTTTGATTTGCGATTTTTCTAGTTTCCAACATTAAATTTTTCAATTTTTAAATTTTTCGATTTTTCAATAATGAATTTTTTAATTTTTCAACTCTCAAAGTTTTCAGTTTCTCAATTTTTAATTTTGTTCTAGTTTTCGATATTAAAATTTTTCGTTTCAATTATACAATTATTTTCGATTTTTCAATCAGGAGATTTTTTTAATTTCGTCATTTTTCAATTGGAATTTATTTTTTAATTTTTCAATTTTTCGATTTGAGCTTTTGGATTTTGCAATTATTTGTTTGTTCAATTTTCGGGCTTTTTAATTTATAATTTTTGATTTTTCAATCACTGGATTTTTTTAATTTTTAATTTTGCCATTTTTCAATAGGATTTTTTAATTTTTCAATTTTTCGATTTGAGCTTTTCGATTTTTCAGTTTTTGTTTGTTCAATTTTCCCACTTTTTAAGATATAATTTTTTGATTTTTCACCTTTTGAATTTTTGAATTGGTTTTTTTGACTTTTAAATTTTTCGGTTCTTACTTTTTGATTTTTCAATCACTGGATTTTTAAAGTTTTTGATTTTATTTTATGGTTTGAGTTTTCGATTTTTTCAAATAATGAATTTTTAGATTTTTCAAGTTTCAGATTTTATTTTTTTCTTCAATTGTTCAGTTTTATAGATTTTTCGATTTTTAAATTTTCGTTTTTTCAGTTTTTGGAATTTTAATTTTGCAATTTTTCAATTAGAATTTTTTTTCAATTTTCCGATTTTTCAACTTTAAAATTTTAAAGTTTCCTGATTTTTATTTTTCGATTTGTAATTTTTTTAGTTTCCAATATTAAATTTTTCGTTTCTTCATTTTTACGATTATTTTTTGATTTTACAATCACGATTTTATTAATTTTTCAATTGAATTTTTTCATTTTTCGATTTGGGTCTATCAATGTTTCAATTTTTCGGTTTTATGGATTTTTCGATTTTTGAATTCTTCGTTTCTTCCGTTTATTGGGTTTTTTAAATTTTGATTTTTGATTTTGCCACTTTTTAATTTTTTTATTTTACGATTTGAGTTTTCGATTTTTCAACTGTTAGATGTTTTTTCAATTTTTCACTTTCTGGATTTTTTAATTTTAGAATTCTTGGTTTCTTCAGTTTTCGAATTTTAATTTTGCAATTTTTTAAAAAAAATTTTCGTGTCTTTTTTTCAATTTTTATTTTGAAATTTTTCGATTTTCGAGTTTTGTGTTTCTTCAATTATTCAAGTTTTCAATTTCAAATTTTTTCAGTTTTTCATTTCTTCAAAATTTCGGTTTGCAATTTTTATAGTTTTCAATAACAAATTTCTTAATTTTTCGATCTACCAAGTTTAGAATTTTTTATTTTTTCGATTTTTTAAATTTTCGTTTCTTCAATTTCTATTTTAAAATTGGTTTGTAATTTTTTCAAATATGTCATTTTTTCGGTTCTTATTTTTTAATTTCACGATTTTTTATAATGGAATTTTTTGATCTTTCAGAGTTGGAATTTTTCGGTTTTTCAAATTTTTGACTTCTCAATTTTTCGATTTTTCAATTTTTAAACTTTTAGATTTTTTAATTGAGAGATTTTTCGATGTTAAGGTTTTACAACTTGGTCATTTTTAATTTTCATCAAAAATAACAAATTACAAATGAAAAATATTGTAAAATCGAAAAATTGGACAATAAAAATCAAAAAATTAAAAAATCCAAAAATGATATAATAATTGAAAAATAATGTAGAAATTCAAAGTCGGTCAGGTTAAAAAAACAAAAGATACCGAACCACCAATTTACGCCAGTTTGAATTGGAAGCCGACGTGCTTTGTCGTGATTGGTCGGCAGAAATTCGGAAATTAACTGTACGACCAATCAGATTCGAGTATTCCTTACTTGTTATCTTGCGTCACCGGAATCTTCGACCCGTTGGGTTTCAACTCGATGGTTTTATTCTCCCCAAAATCGTCCCTACTTATCTCAAAGAACAACCCAAAAGTGGACTGCATGTCAGTCTCCTTATAATCGAGTAGGCCTTGCAGCGAGTTGGCCATCACAGGCGTCAAACCCTTCAGGTCTGCCAACCCCACAGTCTCATTCAACAACTTCTTATAGAGAGCTAAAGGAAAAGGTAAGTCTATGATGGTAAAATTGTAGATGGCTAGCCCGCAAATAATCCCTGCAACCACAAACACGTATATCCTACTCAGTACCCAGCACTACCCTACCTATCAAAAAATAAACAGGCTCTTCCTCGAACGACGTCTCCGAGAACCACAGCGCCCTCGTCTCCTCGTACTCCTTAAACATCCCGTACTTAGGGTCCAGAATCTCCTTCAACAACAACATGAAAAACTCCTTCCGGACTCCACCGGCGTCCTCAGCTTCTTCGCCACAGAACTTCACCTTCAGCGGCTTTTTCAGGTCGTCGGCGTCGATGTTGCTCAGTTCTCTGAGTGCGTCGTTCACTATTTGGTCTCTCGTGATGTTTAAAACTAAAAATTGGTTAATACTTTGAATGGCCGACGGTCTGAAAAGCAGCGAGAAGAAGGCCTGTTGAGCGGCGACTTGCATTGCTTTTTGCATCTACAATTTCTAGTTTGTATAAGAACGCGAGAAACTTTCGACAACGCACTTGTATTCCTTGGTCAGTCTCTAGAAGCAACGTCTTGGCTTGGGCGTCGAAAATGAACGGGTAGTTGCAGAGGAAGAGTTTCCCTGTCTGGAAGCCAAAGCTCGTGATTGGTTTAAGATTTTCGTTGGACTTACATTCTGGTCGGTCAGCCACATGACGTAGTCGACTCGGACATCTAAGTAATCACTTAAGTCTGATATGTGGAACGTGTCGTATGGAACTTTTAAACCCTCTACGCTATGGTTAAGTTTATTTAAATATGTTAAGGTATCTAACATCGCTACAAGACTAGAATCGTAAAATACGGTCTGGAAAAAACGGGTTTAAGGGGTGTTTGGTTTGTGGTGAGGGCTTACTTTGTTCTCTGGAATTTTTTGATTTCTTAGGATAAAGCTAACGACAGACTTAAAAATTCGTATCAGTTTCTCGAAGTAATCACAACTCATCATCGTCCACCACATTCCTATTACTTTACTGGCTTGAGGACCGAGCTTCAGGAGTGCACTGGTGAACGGTTTGTGGAGCTTTATGTACTGTTTGGGGTTGTAAAATTCGTGGTATAGAGGTAGGACGAGGTAAATTCTCAAAGTTTCCACGTCGGGCGGAGAAGGCGATAATTTGTTTAAAATGTCGTCTACTATGGCATTCCATATCTGTAAACAAGAAAAATTCAAAGGAAATTCTATATTATTTTTTCTTAAATCTAGAGATAAACGAAAAAATTGTATTTTATTTTACACTGCTTTCACAATAAAATTTTGTGACGAATTATCAAAAAAAAAAAATCATGAAAAACAAAATAAAAAAACGCCAAGAAAGCTATAAGAATGCACCAAAAGAATTACATCAAAAAACTCTAAAAATCTGAAGATAAAAAAAATTAAAATATCCAAAAAAAGAAATGAATTATTAAAAATTAAGAACAGAAAAACTGAAAAATCGAGAAATTGCAAAATGCCAAAACGAAATCTCGAAAAAATTTATTTTGGAAGGTGGAAACGTTGAAAAATCATAACGTTAAGAAGTAGAAGAATATGTATGTAGTACAAAAAAATTGAAAACTAGAAAATTACAAAAAATAGATAAATTGAAAAATCAAGTTGAAAAGTCAAAAATTGAAAAATTAAAGAATAAAAAAATTGAGAATTTAAAAATTTAAATAATGAATCAAATAACTGAAAAATCCTGAAAGTGAAATATCGAAATATTGAAAATCGAGAAATAGAAAAGTTGAATTATCGAAAAATTGGAAGGTCAATAAATCGAAAAGCCGAAAAGTGGAAAAATCGGAAAATTGAAATATCGAAATAGGTACTATAAAATTCAAAAATCGAAAATATCAAAAAATTGAAAAACCATAATTTAAAAACCGAAAATTTGAAAAACTGAGGATCGAAAAATCTAAAATTTAAAAAAGAATCGAAAATTGAATAATCAAAAACTTGAAAAATCAAAAATCCGAAAAAAAGAAGAATTGGAAAACTGAAAAACCAAGAAATAAGAAAATCAAAAAATTGAAAAATCTAAAAGTCGAAAAGTCAATAAATCGAGAAATTGAAAAACCATAATTTAAAAACCGAAAATTTGAAAAAGTGAGAGATCGAAAAATCAAAAATCCAAAAAAATGAATTAAATAACTGAAAAATCTTAAAAGTGAAATGTCGAAAAATTGAGAAATCGAAAACTAAAAACTCCAAAAATTGAAGATTACGAAATTGAAAAATCGAAAAATTATAAAATCGAGAAATTGAAAGTTTGAAAAATCGAAAAAATGAAAGATTTACAAATCGAAAAGTCGACAAAATTGAAAAATTAAAAGTGCAAAAATCTGAAAAATCGAGAAATCGAGACGCCGAAGAGTCCAAACATCGTAAATCGAGAAATGGGAAAATCAAAAAATCAGAAATTTAAAAAGTCGAAAAGTCAAAAAATCGATTAATCGATCAATTCACGTCGGGTGGAGAAGGCGATAATTTATTTAAAATGTCGTCTACTATGGCATTCCATATCTGTAAACAAGAAAAATTCAAAGGAAATTCTATATTATTTTTTCTTAAATCTAGAGATAAACGAAAAAATTGTATTTTATTTTACACTGTTTTCACAATAAAATTTTGTGACGATTCGTCAATTTTTTAGTGGAGGCATGAAAAACAAAATAAAAAAAACGCCAAGAAAGCGATAAGAATGCACCAAAAGAATTACATAAAAAAACTCGAAAAATCTAAAGACAAAAAAATTAAAATATCCAAAAAAGAAATGAATTATTAAAAATTAAGAACAGAAAAACTGAAAAATCGAGAAATTGAAAAATGCCAAAACTGAAATCTCGAAAAATTTTATTTTGGAAGGTGGAAACATTGAAAAATTACAACGTTAAGAAGTAGAAGAGTATGTAGTACAAAAAATTTAAATCTAGAAAATTACAAAAAATAGATAAATTGAAAAATCAAGTCGAAAAGTCAAAAATTGAAAAATTAAAGAATAAAAAAATTGACAATTGAAAAATTTTAAAAATGAATCAAATAACTGAAAAATCCTAAAAGTGAAATATCGAAATATTGAAAATCGAGAAATAGAAAAGCTGAATTATCGAAAAATTGGAAGGTCAATAAATCGAAAAGCCGAAAAGTGGAAAAATCGGAAAATTGAAATATCGAAATAGGTACTATAAAATTCAAAAATCCAAAATATCAAAAAATTGAAAAACCATAATTTAAAAACCGAAAATTTGAAAAACTGAGAGATTGAAAAATCTAAAATTTAAAAAAGAATCGAAAATTGAATAATCAAAAACTTGAAAAATCAAAAATCCGAAAAAACGAAGAATTGGAAAACTGAAAAACCAAGAAATAAGAAAATCAAAAAATTAAAAAATCTAAAAAAATAACTGAAAAATCTTAAAAGTGAAATGTCGAAAAATTGAGAAATCGAAAACTAAAAACTCCAAGAATTGAAGATTACGAAATTGAAAAATCGAAAAATTATAAAATCGAGAAATTGAAAGTTTGAAAAATCGAAAAAATGAAAGATTTACAAATCGGAAAGTCGACAAAATTGAAAAATTGAAAGTTCAAAAATCTGAAAAATCGAGAAATCGAGACGCCGAAGAGTCCAAACATCGTAAATCGAGAAATGGGAAAATCAAAAAATCAGAAATTTAAAAGTCGAAAAGTCAAAAAATCGATTAATCGGTCAATTAACGCCAAAAATTCAAAAATTAAAAAATCAATAAATTGAAAAATCTAAAAAGTGAAATATCGAAAAACTGAATAATAAAAACTCCAGAAATCGAATATTACGAAATTGAAAAATCGAAAAAGTGAGAAATCGGAAGTTGAAAAATCGATAAAATCGAAAAATTAAAAAACCTGAAAAATCGAAAAATTGAAAAACAGAAAAATCAACAAATCGAGACGCCTAAGAATCGAAATATCCACTAGTTGGGAAATAGGAAAATCAAAATGTCGGAAAATTTAAAAGTAGAAAAGTCAAAAAATCGATTAATGGAAATCGGAAATTTAGACATTGAGATATCGAAAAATCTAAAGTTTAAAAAATCGAAAATTGAAAAATAAAAAAGGGAAAAAATTGAGGACTCGAAACGTAGGAAAATCCAAAAACTGATATTTTGAAAAAAAGCGAAAAACGGAAAAATCGAAGAATCGAAAAATTGAACAATCAAAAACCCGAAAAATCGAAAAATTGACAATTGGATAATCCAAACAAATTAATCAAGTAACTGAAGAATCTTAAAAATAAAATATCGAAAAACTGAGAAATCAAAAAATAAAAACTCCGGAAATCGAATATTACGAAATTGAAAAAAATCGAAGAAAAAATTGAAGAATCGAAAAAAATGGAACATTGAAAAGTCGAAAAAATCAAAAAATTAAGAATCAAAAAACCTGAAAAATCGAAAAAAAAACAGAAAAATTGAAAAATTACGAAAAATAGATAACTTGAAATATCAAAAAATTGAAAAACAAAGAATTTAAAAATCGAAAATTTGAAAAAACAAAAATAAAAAAATTGAAAATTTGAAATGTAGAGAAGGCCAAAAAGTGAAATATCGAAAAAACCGAAAAACTGAAAAATAGAAGAATCGAAAAATGGGAAGATCCACAAATCGAAAATTAAAAAAAAAATCGAAAAATCTGAAAGTCGAAAAGTTAAAATAATCGATTAATCGAACAATTCAAAATTTAGAAACGCCAAAAATTGAAAAATTAAAAATTCAAAAACCTGAAAGATCGAAAAACTGAAGAATTGAAAAACTGAAAAATCGAGAAATCGAGACGCCTAAAATTCCAAACATCGATAAATCGATTAATGGAAATCGAAAATTCAGAAACGCCAAAAATTGAGATATCGAAAAATCTAAATTTAAAAATCAACAATTTGAAAAACAGAAAAGGAAAAAAATTGAGAAATCGAAAAACTTAATTATCGAAATGTAGGAAAATCCAAAAACTCAACATCGAAACAACCGAAAAACTCAAATTTCGAATAATGGAAAGATCGAGAAATCGAAAATTTAAAAAAGAATCGAAAAACCTGAAAAATAAAAAATCCGAAAAAACGAAGATTTGGAAAACTGAAAAACCAAGAAATGAGAAAATCAAAAAATTGAAAAATCTGAAAGACGAAAAGTCAAAAAATCGATTAATCAGCACTAAGACGCCAAAAATTGAAAAATCAAACAATCAATAAATCGAGACATCGAAAAATTGACATTAAAAAAAATTGAAAAACCGTAATTTAAAAACTGAAAATCTGAAAAACTGAGAGATCGAAAAATCTAAAATCCAAAAAAAAAAAACGAATTAAATAACTGAAAAATCTTAAAAGTGAAATATCGACTAATTGATAAATCAAAAAATAAAAACTCCAGAAATCGAATATTAAGAAATTGAAGAATGGAAAAATTAAGAATCGAGAAATCGAAAAATTGAAAAACCTGAAAAATCGAAAAATTAAAAACAGAAAAATGGGAAAATTACGAAAAATAGATAACTTGAAATACCAAAAAATTGAAAAACCAAGAATTTAAAAACCGAAAATTTGAAATAAAAAATCAAAAAATTAAAAAATCAAAATGTAGGGAAATCAAAAAACTGAAATATCGAAAAAACCGAAAAACTGAAAAATCGAAGAATCGAAAAATGGGAAAATCTACAAATCGAAAATTAAAAAAAAATCGAAAAATTTAATAATCAAAAACCCGAAAAAATCAAGAAATGGGAAAATAAAAAAAAATATAGAAATCTGAAAGTCGAAAAGTCAAAAAAATCGATTAATCGAGCAATTCAAAATTTACAAACGCCAAAAATTGAAAAATTAAGAATCGAAAAATTAACAATTGGATAATCGAAAAGCCGAAAAATCGAAAAGGTAAAAAAAATCGAAAAATAGAAACGAAAAATCGAAAAATTGAAAAAATCGAAAAAGTGAAAGATCGAGAATTCGAAAAGTCGATAAAATCGAAAAATTAAAAATTCATAAACCTGAAAAATCCAAAATTGAAGAACTGAAAAATCGAAAACTAAAAACTCCAAAAGTCGAATATTACGAAATTGAAAAATCGAAAAATTACAAAATCGAGAAACTGAAAGTTTGAAAAATCGAAAAATTGAGATATCGAAGAAAAAAGTGAAGATCGAAAAAATGAAATATTGACAAATCGAAAAGTCGATAAAATCAAAAAATTAAAAATTAAAAAACCTGAAAAATTGGAAAACTGAAGAATTGAAAAACGGAAAAATCGAGAAATCGAGATGCCGAAAAATTCAAACATCGATAAATTGAGAAATGGGAAAATTTTTAAAATCGGAAAATTAAAATGTCGAAAGTCAAAAAATCTAATTTAAAAAATCGAAAATTTTAAAAATAGAAGCGGAAAAAAATGAGAAATCGAAAAATTTCATTATGGAAATGTAGGAAAATCCGGAAACTGATATATTGACACAACCTAAAAACTCAAAAATCGAAAAAATGGAAGAAAAAAATTGAAGAATCGAAAAAATGAAACATTGAAAACTCGATAAAATCAAAAAATTAAAAATTGAAACATCTGAAAATTCGAAAAAATGAACAAATGAAAAACTAAAAAATCGAGAAATCGAGACGCCGAAGAATCCAAACATCGACAAATCGAGAAATGGGAAAATCAAAAAATCGGAAAATTTAAAAATCGAAAAGTCAAAAAATCGATTAATGGAAATCGAAAATTTAGAAACGCCAAAAATTGAGATATCGAAATATCTAAATTTAAAATTCAAAAATTTGAAAAACAGAAAAGGAAAAAAATTGAGATATGGAAAAATTTTATTATCGAAATGTAGGAAAATCCAAAAACTGATATATCGAAACAACCGAAAAATGAAAAGATCGAGATATCGAAAATTTAAAAAAGAATCGAAAAACTGAATGATCAAAAACCTGAAGAATCAAAAATCCGAAAAATCGAAGAATTGGAAAACTGAAAGATCAAGAAATGGGAAAATAAAAAAATCGAAAAATCTGAAAGACGAAAAGTCAAAAAATCGATTAATCCAGCAATTAACGCCAAAAATTGAAAAATTAAAAAATCAATAAATCAAAAAATCGAAAAATTGACTACTGGATCCTCCAAAAAAATGAATCAAATTACCAAAAAATCTTAAAAGTGAAATATCGAAAAATTGAAAAATAAAAACTTCAGAGATCGAATATAACGAAATTGAAAAATCGAAAAATTGAGAAATCGGAAGTTGAAAAATTGAAAAGCCAAAAATCGTAAAAGTAAAAAAATCAAGAAATCGAAAAATTGGAAAAATCGAAGAAAAAATTGAAGAACCGAAAAAATTGAAAAATAAAAAAGGAAAAAATTGAGAACTCGAAAAATTTAAGAATCGAAATGTAGGAAAATCCAAAAACTGATATATTAAAAAAAAAACGAAAAACTGAAAAATCGAAGAATCCAAAAATTGAATAATCAAAAACCCGAAAAATAGAAAAATTGATCAACTGAAAAATTTTAAAAGTAAAATATCGAAAAATTGAGAAATCAAAAAATAAAAACTCCGGAAATAGAATATTACGAAATTGAAGAATCGAAAAATTGAAAATCGAGAAATTGAAAATTTGAAAAATCGTAAAAAGCAAAAAAAACCCGAAATCGAAAAATTGAAAACATCGAAGAAAAAACTGAAACATCGAAAAAATGGAACACTGAAAATTCGATAAAATCGAAAAATTAAGAATTAAAAAACCTGAATCTTAAAATTAAAAACAGAAAAATTGGAAAATTACGAAAAATAGATGGACTTGTCAAATATCAAAAAATTGAAAAATCGAAATGTAGGGTATCCAAAAACTGAATATCGAAAAAAGCGAAAAACTGAAAAATCGAAGAATCGAAAAATTGGAAGATCCACAAATCGAAAATTAAAAAAAATCGAAAAATTTAATAATCAAAAATCCGAAAAAATCAAGAAATGGTAAAATAAAAAAAATCGAGAATCTGAAAGTCGAGAAGTCAAAAAAATCGATTAATCGAGCAAAAAAAAATTAGAAACGCCAAAAATTGAAACATTAAAAAATCAATAAATTGAAGAATCGGAAAATTAACAATGGGATAATCCAAAAAAAAAATAATCAAACAACTGAAAAATCCTAAAAAGTGAAATATCGAAAAATTGAAAATAGGAAATTGAAAATTTGAAAAATCGAAAAATTGAAAAATTTTAAATTAAAAAAAAATCGCGAAATTGATAAATCGAAAAAATGAAATTCGAGAATTGAAGATTCAAAAAATTGAAAAACTGAAGAATCCAATAACTAAAAAATCCTAAAATTGGAATGTCGAAAAACTGAGAAAATGGAAGCTGAAAATTTGAAAAATCGAAAAATCAAAAAAAGAAAAAATTGAAAAGGGAAAAATCTAGAAACCGGAAAATTTAAAAAATCTCGAAAATGAAGAACCTAAAAATCCTAAAACTGAAACATCGAAAAATTGAGTTACCGAAAATAAACAAAAAATCGCGAAATTGAAAATCGAGTAATTGAAAAATCGAAAAATTGAGAAATCGGAAGTTGAAAAAAAAACGAAAAAACAAATAATCGAAAAACTGAAAAATTGAGAAATCGAGAAATGGGAAAACCAAAAAATTTAAAAATCTAAAAGTCGAAAAGTTGAAAAATCGAAATATCAAAAAAGGGAAAAATGGAAAAGGAAAAAATCTATAAACAGGAAATTTTTAAAAATCTCGAAATTGAAGAACCTAGTAATCCTAAAATTGAAATATCGAAAAATAAAAACTCGGGAAATCAAAAATAAACAAAAAATCGCGAAACTGAAAATCGAGAAATTGAAAAAACGAACAATTGAGAAATCCGAAGTTGAAAATCCAAAAATCGAGAAGAAAAAAAAAACACGAGAAATCAAATAATCGAAAAATGAGAAATTGGAGAAAAATTGAAGAATTCAAAACCTGAAAAAGTGAGAAATCCAGAACGCGATAAGTCGATAATCGAAAAGTCGAGAAATCGAGAAATGGGAAAATCAAAAAATCGAAAAATCTAAAAGTCAAAAAGTCAAAAAATCGAGAAATCGAAGATTTATAAACGCTAAAATCTAAAAGTCGAAAGTCAAAAAATCAAGAAATCGAGAAGTCGAAAAATAGATAAAAATCGAAAATTTTGAATGCCAAAAATTGAAAAATCGCGAAATTGAAAAATCAGGAAATCGAAAAGCCGAAAAATCGAAAATTCGAAAAACCGTTACAAAATTTTGCTTTTTTAAAAAATCTCGATATCTAGGATAAAGATTCAACACGAATTCATAAACCACAAGATCAGGAGTTACATTTTAACATTTAAATAACGGTTACTATTGTAAAATTTGCAGATGACATCATTCCACCGTTAGTGGAGGTGAACAGGCAAATTTCGGTTAGCGTTTTACCATCTATATGATATTCCCTAACCTATATACAAAAGTTGACAACAATCGGTTCAGTAATTTTGGGTATTAAAAATCTACACAGACGGTGGACAGACAGACAGACAGGCAGACGGAAACAAGCGGCAGACCTATGTCGAGAAAACATGAAAACTTACGCTCGGGAAGTAAAAATCGATCAAAAAAGCGACAAAAAATTGGCATAAAAAAGGTTAAAAAGAGGATAAATGATGAATAAAAACGACATAAAAGATTTGAAAATACTGATAAAACACAAATATAGATCCATTGCATTTTGTACATTTTAGATTGGTTTTATCCGGGTGATTTTGAAATTACGTCAAGTGGATACACAAAAAATTATATACCTAAAAAAATTGTTAACAGACGCCAAACAGATAAACAAAAAAGTTATGACCAATTTTTGCACACTCTAGGAACTATGAAAATAAAAATTTACTTAAACCTGCTCACTTACCAGTTCCTTGATGGTATCATTCTCCATCTTCGCAATCAACGAGAACGCCCTCTCCGCATCCACCATATCCACCCCATGGTGCTTACTCGTGCAATAATAGTGCGCATCCCCCTTAATCAAAAACGACCCATTCAAACACGCCAGACTCTTAAAAACCACCTCCAAATACGACAAAATATCCTGATCCACCTGCCCGTTCACCCCAATCCGCACACACGGCTCCAACTTCGCCGAATTCAAAATCGAAATCTGGCTCTCGGGCTCATACGTGCGAAAATCCACCGGGGCGATATTCTGCTTCTTGTCCGTGACCGAAACGAAGCAGTGATCGCCGCCGGCGAAAATCCGCCGAATCACAGTATTGGGGGCTGCGGCGTTCGGAACCACGGGAACCCCACTGGGGGAAACCCACGGCCCTAGCACCACCTGGGGGGTGGAGGCGTTACTGGGTTTACGGAGCCCCAACTGGCCGGCGCCACCCAGACCGTAGCTGTAGACGCGGCCGCGGGACGGGACGAAGGCGAGTGAGTGTTGGCGGCCGCACGAAATTTGAGTAATAGTGGAGCCCATGAGCTCCAAGACCTGCGGATGAAACAAACAACGGTTACGAAACGTCTTGACTTTGTTTTTGAGGGGTACCTGGCGCGGGAGGATTTCGTTGGAGTTGCTGGCGTGGCCCAATTGGCCGTACATTCCGGCGCCGCACGAGAACACGCCCCCATCTAGCGTCAGGAAGGTGGAGAATTCGTCGCCGCAGCAGATGTAGCGGACTCGGCTGTTCCTGAGGGTGCGTAGCTGCGTGGGGAATTTTTTAGAACTTGTGTCGTTTAAGCCCAACTGACCGTGGATGTTTTTGCCTAATTTGAAAAAAAAAAAAAATTGATACTAGGGAGGCTATGGCGGTTGTGATTTACCCCATCCGAAGATGGCGCCCGATTTCGATACGGAGAACGTGTGGTTGGATCCGCAAGCTATTAAAGCTACTGGAATGCCATACAAAGATATGACTTCTGTTGGTGTTGATTCATATTGTGTTACTGTTCCTATACCCAGTTGTCCGAAGTCGTTTGCTCCCCACGTTAAAATTTCTCCACCTGGAAGTCAACTATCGTTTTTGGAATTTATGTACAATCGCACGCAAATGTTTTGAGCCTATGGGCGGATCATTTTTGCCGGTCGTCACCGAAGGAGGCGGTCCAAATCGTCCAAGGGCAGAATTTGTAGGTAGGCTCAAACTACAACGAAATTTACGTGTTGACCAAATTCTTACCCTGAATTAGTTTTAATATCATAAATACCCTATCTAAAATGTTCAGAATATGATGAGTCTATACTTGTGATTTACCATTCCATTAATATTTTTTGGATTTGTTTATACATACAGGGTGACTCAAAAAAAAAATAATGACTGAGTCAATTTATTTTATTGAAGAAATCAAGAATTGCAAAACTGAATACTTTGAAATCTTGTCAATTAGTTAGAAAAAAAAAACCTGTCCTGCTCTAATAACATCGAGAATATGCTCAAAATCACACTAATATTAGCTATAATTGTGCCGACCATAGTTATAAAATTCACATTAAAGTAAGTCACGGATATTTTTTTGAAGTGTATTACATTTCAAAAAGCAAAAAAAATGTTCAGTTTATAAACTTCATAATTTTGGTTTAAAGTTTATCAATCATATTTGACGCTTTATTTTATCCGTTCCATTTGTTATCCTTTACTGCGGTCTCTCTTGGATCGAGGTGTAACACTGGACCGAACGTTCTTCGACCGATAGGATAATTTATTACTTCCGACATCTTTTCGGTGACAAATTTAATCTTTGCATACTTCAGCGTAGTTAGTGAACTCGTTGTGACCACTGAAATATACAAAGAGTAAATTTTGAAATGGAACGAAAGTCGAAGAATACTTTCAAAGCCACGATCAAAATGTATTTGCTTATCTTCGTCAAAAAATGCATGACGTCATCGTAAAATTTGATATGATGAGTCTATACCTGTGATTTATCATTGCAGTAATATTTTTTAGATTTACTTATACAGCCTGTCTCAAAAAAAGGTCACTTCGATTTTCGATTTTTCGTTTTTTCGACCAACCATTTCATCGAATTAGATTTTTCAGTTTCCAGTTTTCTATCAACTTTTCGATTTTATTACTTTCTAATTTTCTGATTTTTCAAATTTGCGGTATTTTGATTTTTCGAGTTTTCAGTTTTTTCGTTTTTCGATTTTTTAATTTTTCGTTTTTTTGATTTTTCGATGTTTCGATTTTTTAATTTGCCATTCTTTCAATTTTCGATTTTTCGTCTTTCCATTTTTAGATTTTTTGATTTTTCTGTTCGTCAGTTTTTAGACTTTGCAATTTGTTTGCATGTTTCGATTATATTTTACTTTCCGATTTTTTTGATTTTTGAATTCTCGATTTGACGTTTTTAATTCTTTGATTTCCGATTTTTCAATTTTCCGGTTTTTTAATTCTTCTATTCTCGATTTTTCGATTTTCCATTAATCATAAAATTTTTCGATTTTTCGGTTGTTTTATTTTTGACCTTCGATTTTTCAACTCTCGATTATTCGATTTTCCATTTTCTGATTTTACAATTTTTCGATTTGCGATTTTTCGATTTTCGTTTTTCCGCTTTTGTGGTTTTTCGATTTTTCTGTTTGTTTCAGTTTTTATGGTTCTGCAATTTGCAGCTTTTAGATTTCAATTTTGTTACTTTCCGATTTTCCACTTTTCGATTTTTTGATTTTTCAATTTTTAGGCCTTGCAATTTTTTTACTTTTTCGAATATTTGTTTCATCGAATTTTCGAGTTTTCGATTTTCGATTTTTCGGTTTTTCCATTATCCGATTTTCGATTTTTCGATTTTCCATGTTTAGATATTTTTCGATTTTTTTTTATTTTTCGATTGTTCTGTTCGTCAGTTTTGAGACTTTGCAATTTTTACTTTTCCACTTTTCTATTATTTTAGTTTCGGATTATTCGATTTTTGAATTTTCGTTTTTTTTTTCATTTTTCGATTCCCCATTTTTTAATTTTTCGATTTTTCGGTTTTTTAATTTGTCGATTCTCGATATTCCGATTTTCGATTTTTCGATTTTCCAAACTTCAATTTCCAGTTTTAGATTTTTCATTTTTTGATTTTACGATTTTTCGATTTTTCTGTTCGTCAGTTTTTAGGCTTTGCAATTTGTTGTTTACTTTTCGATTTTTCGATTATTTTTTTCCAGTTTGTTTATTTTTGAATTGTCGACTTTTAGAGTTTTCAATATTATGAATTTTCGAATTTTCGGTTTTCCTATTTTTCGATTTTTGATTTTTCCATTTTTCGGTTTTTTGATTTTTCAATTCTCGGTTTTTCAATCTTGCAAACTTTCGATTTTTCAGATTTGTGAATTTCCAGTTTTTCGATCGACCTACGTATTAGATTCATTGAATTTTCGATTTTCGGTTTTTCCATTTTTAGATTTTTGATTTTCCAGTTTTGTATTTTCAGATTTTCTGTTTTTCGCATATCTGATTTATCAAATTTTCGATTTTTCGGCTTTTCGATTTTTCGATATTTCATTTTCGAATTTTCGATTGTTCAGTTTTCCATTTTTCAGCTTTTAGACTTCCATTTTTTTACTTTTCGATTTTACAAATTTTCGAGTTTCAATTTTCAGATTTTTGATTTTTCGACTTTCTTTTTAAATCTTTGAATTTTTCGGTTTTGATTTTTCGAATTTTTGATTTTTAATTTTTCCATTCTTCGGTTTTTAGACTTCAATTTTCTTTCTTTTAAATTTTTCGATATTCTATTTTCCGCTTTTCAGAATTTTCGATTTTTAGAAAATTTGAGTAGTCGAATTTTCGATTTTTCAAATCATCGATTTTTCCATGTTCAATTTTTCAATTTAAATTTTGCGATTTTCAATTTGTCCATTGTCGATTTTTAGAATTTTCGGTTTTTCAATTTTTCCATTTTCAACTGTTAGACTTCAATTTTGTTACTTTCCGATTTTTTGGTTTTCGATTTTCCAATTTTCAGAATTTCCAAGTTTATTCAGATTTTCGATTTTCCACTTTTTCGATTTTAGATTTTTCGAATTTTTGTTTTTCCAATTTTTTGCTTTTTCGATTTTTCTGTTCGTTTCAGTTTTTAGGTTTTGCAATTTTTTTTACTTTATGTATTTTGTTTATTTTAATTTCAGATTTTTTTTATTTTTGTTTTTGATTTTTTAATTTTCAATATTACAAATTTTTGACTTTTCGATTTTTTGGTTTTCCCGTTTTTCAATTTTCGATTTTTCAAATTTTGAGGTTTGTGAATTTCCACTTTTCGATCGACCTAGGTATTTGATTCATTGAATTTTCGATTTTTTGATTAGCCATTTTTAGATTTTCGATTTTTACGATTTGTTTTTTTCGATTTTCTGTTTTTTGCATTAGTGAATTTCAGTTTTTCCGATTTTTGATTAATCAAATTTTCGAAAAAGTTACCATGCTTACAAAAACTTCAAAACATTTACGATATTTCAAAGTATTCAGTTTTGCTATTCTTGATTTCTTCAATAAAATAAATTTTTTGAGACACCCTGTATAACCAAATCTAAAAAATATTAATGCAGTGATAAACCACAAGTATAAAACTCATCATATTTTATACATTTATTCTGCAAAATTTTGAGGTGACGTCAAAAATGTTTTAGAGGGGATAAGCAAATATATTTTAATTAAAAATGTATCATGTTTATCATGATTTTAAAACATCTGCAAGATTTCAAAGTATTCGGTTTTGCAAATTCAAAATTAAATTGCAAATTATTGTTTCATAATTTTGATTTTTTTTCCAAAAATCTGGACGTTTCGAATAAAAACTCAACACGGAGTCATAAACTACATGTGTAGCACTATGTTACTGTATACAATTTAAAACCCATTTACTATGCATAAATTTGTAGTGACGTCATCACATTATTGGTGGGGATGATTAGACAAATTTAATAAATTTGCGACATTTATGAAAAAAATATCAGTTAACAAAAATGGCACGTTTTTATTATTATGCCAGTTACATGTCACTCAACGACAATATCGTTTTTTTTTAAGAGTATTTTATTTGAAAAAGTGATGAAATTTTTTATACGGAACAATTGGTCGAAAGATGTTAGAAAGCAAAATAATTCATGTCCGGACCATCGTTACTCACGAACGAAAGTGACCATTATTTTATGGGAACAACTACCTGCTAAATCTTCTCCGACAAATTCCAGAGAACTGGTGTGAGCCATAAATATTTCTTACCAAATGTATATATAACTACTGTCCGTCCCGTTATTGTCAATAAAATTTTATAGGGTAAAATGTGAATTTGGTTGTAGTTTGAGCCTACCTACAAATTCTGCCCTTGAAGGATTTGGACCGCCTTCTTCGGTGAGGGCAGGCAAAAACGATCCGCCCATAGGTTCAAAACATTTGCGTGCGATTGTACGTTTATGGGGTGGTTTTACCAGTTGATAAGGCCACGGAATGCCTCTGACCTGCCGCTATTTGGATTACGTGGTACTTGGCTAGAGATTTTATTAGTTTTGGTGCTGGTTGTAAAGTAGCACCCAGTTGGTGTCCTAACTGTCCGTAGTTGTCCGCGCCCCAGGAAAAAACTTGTCCCCAACGATTAAGGGCCATGGAGTGCATAGCACCACAAGCCACACTGATTATCGGGTGGGCCTCTAATCCGGTCACCAATTCTACAAAACACGAATTTTGTTTTTTATTGAACTAGTGGGCTATAGGGGATGGCAGGTTTGCCGGCGTGTGCGACAGAGACAGCGATATGGGAAAATTTGGGTACCAATACTCTACCCAGATTGGTAACGCTCCTCTACGTCAAAAACACGTCACCTAGAGTGCCTTGATAAGAATTGTCATAGAGAGTGAGGACACGCTGAAATAATGAGAACTTTTCAAAATTTTATTTTTTATTTTGTGGCTCATGGATAGTTTGAAATTTTGGACCTTTTCATTTTGTTTATTTCGTAAGATCATGGTTTAACGATTTGCCTAAGATTCTAATAACATAATAATGTTAAAGTTAAACTTAGCCCCGCCCACCCACCCGTTCCCTAATTTTTTCTTCAAAAATAAGATTTTTTTAAATTTTTTAACAACTATTCTACAGAAGAACATATAATAAACCCCGCCCACCCACCCCGTCTCCATTTCAGTTATTCATATTATCTGGTCTGATAGAAAGTGGATCCTATGTTGAACAGAAATAAAATTAGTCCTTAGCATAAGATGAGCATGGGTGGGTGGGAGGGGTTAGTATTTGATAAGATAATACTGATTTTGGCAAATGACATAGCTTCTAAGAAAATAGAGGGTGGGTGGGCGGGGCTAATATTTGATAAGGTAAGATTGAACAATATTAGGAATAGGTCATAGAATAAAGTAGAAACTAGAAGATTTGAGTTTGCAATTTTTCTAGTCTTCAATAGCAAACTTCTTAATTTTTTCATTTTTCAAGTTTGGAATTTTTTATTTTTTCGATTTGTTAAATTTTCGTTTCTTCAATGTCTGCTATTTTTAATTTTTCAATTTTACGATTTCTGAGTTTGACAACTTTTCCGATTTGTCAAATATCCCATTTTTCGATTTTTATTTTGCAATTTTTCGAATTGTGAGTATTTTGTTTCAATATTTCAAGTTTCCTATTTTTCGATTTTTCTTTTTTTCATTTTTCAGTTTGTCGGTTCTTGTTTTTATTTTTTTAGTTTCTCGATTTTTTAAAATTCAGTTTTTAATCTTTTAGTGTTGGCATTTTTCGGTTTTTCAATATTTTGACTTCTCAATTTTTCGATTTTTGAATTTTTAAACTTTTAATTTTTCAATTGACATTTTTTTACTTTTATCAAAAATAACAAATTTATTCAAACCGAAATTTTGAAAAATTGTAATCCAAAAGTGAAAAATCCAAAAAACGAAAAATTAAAATTCTGAAAGTTGGAAAATTATAAAATCGAGAAATCGACACATAAAAAATCGAAAAGGAACAAAATCGGGAAATCGAAAAATTTAAGAATCGAAATGTTGAAAAATCCAAAAACTGACAAATCGAAGAAAAATTGAAAGATCAAGAAATCGAAGTACAAAAATCGAGAAATTGAAAAATCTACAAATCGAAAAGTCAAAAATCGAGAAACAGAAAAGAAAAATTTAGTTGAAAAATTAAAAAATTGAAAAATCGACAAATAAATACTCGAGAAAATGAAAATTAAAAACAAATCTAGCGAAATTCAAGAACTGAAAAATTGAGGAATCGAAAAATAAAAACTCAAGAAATCGAAAATTAAAAAAAATCGCGAAAACGAAAATCGAGAAATTGAAAAATCGAAGAACCAAATAATTGAAAAATCCTAAAACCGATATATCCACAAAATGAGGAATCGGAAATCAAAAAATCGAAAATTCGAAAACTCGAAAAACAAAAAAAAATTAGGAAACCGAAAAATCGAAAAATTTAAGAACTGAAATGTTGAAAATTCCAAAAATGAAATATCGAAAAATTGAAAAACTGAAAGATCAATAAATCGAAAATTTTAAAAATCCAAAAATTGAAAACTCTGAAAAATCAAAAATTGAAGAATCGGAAAATTGGGAAATCGAACAACTGAAAAACTGAAAGATAGATAAATCGAAAAATCGAAAATTTTATAAATCCAAAAATTGAAAAATCAAAATATTGAAGAATCAGAAAATTGAGATGTTGAGCAATCGAAAATTCGAGAAATCGGGAAATGGAAAATTCGAAAAACCGAAAAATCTACAAGTCGAAAAGTCAAAAAAAAAATCAAAAATGCGAACATTCGAAATCGCCAAAAATTGAAAAATCCAAAAATCGAAAAATAGTAAAACGGTAATATCGGAACATTGAAAAATCGAAAAATAAATACTCCAGAAAATGAAAATTTAAAAAAAAATCGCAAAATTGAAGAATCGAAAAACTGAGCAATCGAAAAATAAAAACTCAAAAAATCGAAAATTAAAAAAAAAATCGAAGAACCAAATAATTGAAAAATCCCAAAACTAATATATCGACAAACTGAGAAATCGGAAGCACAAACATCGGAAATCGAAAATCCGAAAAATCGAAAAAGAAATAAATTGGGAAACCGAAAAAATTAATAATCGAAATGTTGAAAAATCCAAAAACTGACAAATCGAAGTTAAATTGAAAGATCAAGAAATAGAAAAGTCAAAAATCGAGAAACAAAATAGAAGAAAAATTTAGTTGAAAAATTAAAAAATCAAAACATCAAAAAATTGAAAAATAGTAAAACGGTAATATCGGAAAATTGGAAAACCGAAAAATCTACAAGTCGAAAAGTCAAAAAAAAAATCAAAAATGCGAACATTCGAAATCGCCAAAAATTGAAAAATCCAAAAATCGAAAAATAGTAAAACGGTAATATCGGAACATTGAAAAATCGAAAAATAAATACTCCAGAAAATGAAAATTTAAAAAAAAATCGCAAAATTGAAGAATCGAAAAACTGAGCAATCGAAAAATAAAAACTCAAAAAATCGAAAATTAAAAAAAAAATCGAAGAACCAAATAATTGAAAAATCCCAAAACTAATATATCGACAAACTGAGAAATCGGAAGCACAAACATCGGAAATCGAAAATCCGAAAAATCGAAAAAGAAATAAATTGGGAAACCGAAAAAATTAATAATCGAAATGTTGAAAAATCCAAAAACTGACAAATCGAAGTTAAATTGAAAGATCAAGAAATAGAAAAGTCAAAAATCGAGAAACAAAATAGAAGAAAAATTTAGTTGAAAAATTAAAAAATCAAAACATCAAAAAATTGAAAAATAGTAAAACGGTAATATCGGAAAATTGGAAAATCGAAAAATAAATAGGTACTCCAGAAAACGAAAATTAAAAAAAATCGCAACACTGAAGAATCGAAAAATTGAGCAATCGAAAAATAAATGTTTATATGTACAAATAAATATGTTATGTTATGTTATGTTAAAAACTCAAGAATTCGATAATAAAGAAAAATCGCGAAAATGAAAAATCGAAGAACCAAATACTTGAAAAAGCCCAAAACTAATATATCGACAAAATGAGATATCGGAAGCTCAAAAATCGGAAATCAAAAAATCGAAAATCCGAAAAATCGAAAAAGAAAAAATTGAGAAACCGAAAAATCGAAAAATTTAATAAATAAAATGTTGAAAATTCCAAAAGCTGAAACATCGAAAAATTGAAAAACTGAAAGATCGATAAATTGAAAAATCGAATAATTGAAAAATCGGGAAATGGGAAATTCGAAAAACCGAAAAATCTAAAAGTCGAAAAGTAAAAAAAATCGAGAATCCGAAAATTCAAAAAATTGCTTAATCGAGAAATCGAAAATTGAAAAACCCCAAAAATTGAAAAACCAAAAAATTGAAAAATAGCAAAACGGTAATATCGGAAAATTGAAAAATCGAAAAATAAATCCTCGAGAAAATGAAAATTTAAAAAAAATCGCAAAATTGAAGACCCGAAAAATTGGGCAATCGAAAAATAAAGATCGCGAAAATGAAAATCGAGAAATTGAAAAATTGAAGAACTAAATAATTGAAAAATCCCAAAACTGATACATCGACAAAATCAGAAATCGGAAGCTCAAGAATCAGAAATCAAAAAATCAAAAATCCGAAAAATCGAAAAACAAAAAAAATTGAGAAACTGAAAAATTGAAAAACTGAAAGAACAAAAAATCGAAAATTTTAAAAATCCAAAAATTGAAAAATCAAAAAATTAAAGAATCGGAAAATTGAGACGTTGAGCAATCGAAAATTCGAGAAATCGGGAAATGGGAATTTCGAAAAACCGAGAAATCTAGAATTCGAAAAATCGCTTAATCGAGAAATCGAAAATTTAAAAACGCCAAAAATTGAAGGATCAAAAAAATTGAAAAATGGCAAAACGGTAATATCGTAAAATTGAAAAAAATCGAAAAATAAATACTTGAGGAAATGAAAATTGAAAAAAATCGCAAAATTGAGCAATCGAAAAATAAAAACTTAAGAAATCGTAAATTTAAAAAATTGCGAAAATGAAAATCGATAAATTGAAAAATCGAAGAACCAAATGATTGAAAAACCCCAAAACTGATATATCGACAAAATGAGAAATCGGAAATCGAAAAATCGAAAAAGAAACAAATTGGGAACCGAAAATTCGAAAAATTTAAGAAATAAAATGTTGAAAATTCCAAAAACTGAAATATCGAAAGATTGAAAAAATGAAAGATCGATAAATCGAAAAATTGAAAAATCTGAAAAATAAAAAAATTGAAGAATCGGAAAATTGAGATGTTGAGCTATAGAAAATTCGAGAAATCGGGAAATGGGAAATTCGAAAAACCGAAAAATCTAAAAGTCAGAAAGTCAAAAAAAAAAGAATCCGAAAAATCGCTAATAGAGAAATCGAAAATTTAAAAATCGAAAAATAAATACTCAAGAAGATGAAATTTAAAAAAAATTGGGAAATTTAAGATTCGAAAAATTAAGGAATCGAAAAATAAAAATTCAAAAAATCGAAAATTAAAAAAATCGCGAAAATGAAAACCGAGAAATTGAAAAATCGAAGACCAAATAATCGAAAAATACTAAAACTGATATATCGACAAAATGAGAAATCGGAAGCTCAAAAATCGGAAATAAAAAAATTGAAACTTCGAAAAATCGAAAAAGAAAAAAATTGAGAAACCGAAGAATCGAAAAATTTAAGAAATGAAATGTTGAAAATTCCAAAAACTGAAACATCGAAAAACTGAAAGATCGATAAATCGAAAAATCGAAAAATTGAAAAATCTGAGAAATAAAAAAATTGAAGAATCGGAAAATTGAGATGTTGAGCAATCTAAAATTCGAGAAATCGGAAAATGGGCAATTCAAAAAATCAAAAAATCTAGAAGTCGAAAAAAATCAAAAATCAAGAATTAGAAAATCCTAAAAATCGCTTAATCGAGAAATCGAATATTTAAAAACGCCAAAAATTGTAAAATCAAAAACTGAAGAATCGGAAAATTGAGAAATCGGAAAATAAAAACTCCAGAAACCAAAAATTAAAAAAAAAAACGTGAGATTAAAGAATCGAAAAATTGAAAATCGAAAAAGGGACGAACTGAAAAATCTAAAAATTAGTACTTGCTAAAATAAGACTGATTTTGGCAAATAACATACCTTCCAAGAAAATAGAGGGCGGGTGGGCGGGGCTAGTACTTGTCAAGATAAGACTGAGTTTAGCAAATGATATAAATCCTCTGAGAAAATAGGGGGCGGGTGGCTGGGCTAGTACCTCCCTAGATAAGACTGATTTTGGCAAATAACATACCTTCCAAAAAATAGAGAGCGGGTGGGTGGGGCTAGTACTTGTTAAGATGAGACTAATTTTGGTAAATGACATACCTTCTACGAAAATAGAGGGCGGATGGGTGGGGCTAGTACTTCCTAAGATAAGACAAAAATCGCGAAACAGAAAACAAGAAAAAATTACTTGAAAAATTAAAAAATCAAAAAACTGAAAAATATCAAAATGGTAATATCGGAGAATTGAGAAATGGAAAAATAAATACTTGAGAAAATGAAAATTTAAGAAAAATTGTAGAATTGAAGAATCGAAAAATAAAAACTCAAGAAATCGGAAATTAAAAAAGTCGCGAAAATAAAAATAGAGAAATTGAAACATTGAAGAACCAAATAATTGAAAAATCCTAGAACTGATATCGATAAAATAAAAAAAAAATGGAAATCAAAAAATCGAAAAATCAAAAAAGAAAAAAATTGAGAAATCGAAAAATCGAAAAACTGAAAGATTGATAAATCGAAAACTCGAAAAATCAAAAATTTTAATAATGATCGGAAAACTGAAAACTTTGAAAAATCAAAAAATTGAAGAATCGGAAAATTGGGACGTTCAGCAATTGAAAATTCGAGAAATCGAGAAATGGGAAATTCACAAAATTGAAAAATACCTAAAAGTCGAAAAGTCAAACAATAAAAAATTCGAGAAATCGAAAATTTAAAAACGCCAAAAATTGAAAAATCAAAAAGTTGAACAATCGGAAAATTGAGAAATTGGAAAAAAAACTTCAGAAACCAAAAATTAAAAAAACACGTGAAATTGAAGAACCGACAAATTAAAAATCGAAAACCTGACGAACTGAGAAATCTAAAAATTAGTACTTGCTAAGAATGATTTTGGCCAATAACATTACCTCTACGAAAATAGAGGGTGGGTGGGCGGGGCTAGTACTTGCTAAGATAAGACTGATTTTGGCAATTAACATACCTTCCAAGAAAATAGAGGGCGGGTGGGCGGGGCTAGTATTTGATAAGATAAAACTGATTTTGGCAAATGACATCCTCTAGGAAAATAGGGGGCGGGTGGGTAGGCTAGGACCTCCCCAGATAAGACAAAAATCGCGAAACAGAAAACAAGAAAAATTTAGTTGAAAAATTAAAAAATCAAAAAATTGAAAAATGGTAATACCGGAAAATTGAGAAATCGAAAAATAAATACTTCAGAAAATGAAAATTTAAGAAAAATTGTAGAATTGAAGAATTGAAAATTAAAAACTCAAGAAATCGGAAATTAAAAAAAGTCGCGAAAATAAAAATCGAGAAACTGCAACATTGAGGAACCAAATAATTGAAAAATCCTAAAACTGATACATCGATAAAATGAGAAATCGGAAGCTCAAAAATCGGAGATCAAAAAATCCAAAATCCAAAAAATCAAAAAAGAACAAACTGAAAAACCGAAAAATCGAAAAATTTAAGAAATGAAAAGTTGAAAATTCCAAAAACTAAAATATCGAAAAATTGAAAAACTGAAGAATCGGAAAATTGAGCAATCGAAAAAACGAGAAATCGGGAAATGGGAAATTCGAAAAATCTAAAAGTCAAAAATTCAAAAAAATTAAGAATCCGAAAAATCGCTTAATCGAGAAATCGAAAATTTAAAAACGCCAAAAATTTACAAATCAAAAACCTGAAAAATAGCAAAACGCCAAAAAAAAAAACCTCAAAAAATCGAAAGTAAAAAAAAAAAATCGCGAAAATGAAAATCGAGAAATTGAAAAATCGAAGAACCAAATAATTGAAAAATTCCAAAACACATATATCGACAAACGGGAAATGGGAAATTCATAAAATCGAAAAATCAAAAAATCTAGAATTCGAAAATTCGAAAAATTGCTTAATCGAGTAATCAAAAATTTAAAAACGCCAAAAATTGAAAAATCAAAAAATTGAAGAATCGGAAAACTGAAGAATCGGAAAAAAAAACATGAGAAACCGATAATTAAGAAAAATCTGAAATTAAAGAATCGAAAAATTGAAAGTCGAAAAAGTGACAAACTGAAAAATCTAAAAATTAGTACTTGCTAAGATAAGACTGATTTTGGAAAATGAGGTACTCTCTAAGAAAATAGAGGGCGGGTGGGTGGGGTCAGTACTTGCTACGTTAAGATTGAATAATATTAAGAGTAGGCACTAGAATGAAGAAGGGATTAATCGAAAAATCAAAAAAATGAAAAATCGAAAAATTAAAATATCCAAAATTGAAAAACTGAAAATCAAAAATTTTAAAAATCGAAAAATCTAAAATTAAAAGTCGAAAAATTGAAACACAAAAAAATCAAAAAATTGAAAAAATAGCAAAAATCAGAAAATTGAAAAATCGAAGAATAAATCCTCGAGAAAATGAAAATTAAAAAAAGATCGCGAAATTGTAGAATCGAAAAATTGAGCAATGCAAAAGTAAAAACTCAAGAAATCGAAAATTGAAAATAAATTATGAAAATGAAAATCGAGAAGTTGAAAAATCGAAAAAAAAACTTGAAAAATCCTAAAACTGATATACAGAGAAAATGAGAAATCGAAAATCAAAAAATCGAAAAAATTTGAGGAACCGAAACATTTAAAAATCAAGAAATGGAATTTTAAAAAATCCAAAAACTGGAATATCGAAAAAACGAAAAACTAAAAAATCGATAAATCAAAAAGTCGAAAAATCGAAAAACTGAGACGTTAAGCAATCGAAAATTCGAGAAATCTGGAAATGGGAAATTCAAAAAATCGCTTAATCGAGAAATTGAAAATTTAAAAATGCCAAAATCTGAAAAATCAAAAAATCGGAGAATCGGAAAATTGAGAAATCGGAAAATAAAAACATGGGAAACCAAAAATTAAAAAAAAAATCGTGAAATTAAACACTCGAAAAATTGAAAGTCGACGGTGACAAACTGAAAAATCTAAAAATTAGTACTTGTTAGATAAGACTGATTTTGGCAAATAACATACCTTCCAAGAAAATAGAGGGCGGGTGGGCGGGGTTAGTACTTGCTAAGATAAAATTGAATAATATTAATAATGATAATATCATTTGTCAAAATCAGTCTTATCTTAGCAAATATAAGCCCCGCCCACCCGCCCTCTATTTTCTATTATTTTTCAAGCCCCATTTTGGTGCAAAGATGTCTAGAAAATACATTATTAAAGATCTTACGCCTACAGAATTCCCAGTAAAATGTTAAAGAGATAACCTGTTTCCATTAAACACTGACTCCACCCATCATAACAACCATCACATGTGTAGCTACAGCTTCACAGTTCCTTAAAAGATCAGTATTTGTCAGAGTTATTGAAAGCTCCCATTTTAATAGTTAAATAATAAAATATTTCATAAAGGATCCGTTGCTTAAATTTAATATGCTGCACTTTTCTACTTAATTTCTTAAGATTGGCAGTGACTACTTAAATTTTAAACGAGTTTGATAACCAGAGTGTACACAGCAAAATTTAATTTTTACTGCTTTTTGTATATTTTTCTTATCCTATATTCTCAAATTTTTAGATCTAGATAAAACTAGACCTTCATTAACATTGTTTCCAAATTTTCCAAACATGTTTAACTTCAAATTCAGACTTGAAATTTCAGATTTTAAATTAATAATTTCTCTATCTTGTTCTAAAAGCAGTTTTTGTTTATTACTTGGGTGATTTTTTAAGTTAGACACTTGAATCTTTAAACAGGTCGTTTCTTCTTTAAGTATTTCTTGTTCCAGATTTTCTTGTTTAACAAAAAAAAATGTTTTAAATAAAACATACACGAACAGTTGATTACCAAAATGATTAAACTGATTAAAAGTTAACTTGATAGTTATTTGTTACTCCCTATTTAAGCCATTTTGGCCAAATTTCAACTATTTTTGAGCTTGGTTGTTTCAAATTCAACAACCCCTTTACAACAATCAAAGCACTCTAGTCAAACCTCATCCCTTTAGCCTTTATTAACTTAGGTCACTTTAAATCTAAGCAAGCCGTGGTATTTCACCTGTCATTTAGCTGTCATTGACACTCAAACAACAATGAAACCACAGCCCACTGCAACTACTCTAAAGAACTGTCATGTCCCAAATAGACCCTGACTCAACTCTACCCCCAAACACCCCCATTGGAACAATTAGTTTCTTAAACCAAACAAAACAATTACGACTAGAACAAGAACACAACAGCAATAATGTCACATACTAAACAATGACATACGTGGCCGTTTTCTGGGCTGATCGTGCCCCAGCTGCCCATAGTCGTTGTTCCCGCAGGAGTAAACTTTCCCGTCTTTGGTCAAGAACAGCGTGTGATTGTCGCCTAAGGCAGCTTTGATCACAGATTTTGCTTCCAACCAGTCGAGCGATTTCGGTGTGAAAATGTGTTCCTCCTCGATTCCCCCAAATCCCAGTTCCCCGTGTATGGTGCTCCCCCAGCCAAACATGTCGTCCAAAGTCGTCAACGAAGGTTCGTCGGGAATGAAATCACTGTCTTCTTTTTGCGGCGGGCTATTCTGCGACCTAAAACGTAAACATTCTAGAAATTTCGAACGACTCGGGAACCGCGGTCGCCATTCTTCCGATAAGGAGTGGAGGGGTCTGCGGAGGTCATTACCTAAAGTGTTCGACAATACATATTTGGAATTTTGATTCAGCGACAAAATTTTATTCTTCGTTTGACTTAATCGGTTGGAAATTGACAAATCGCTGGAAGGTTATGTTGCCTTTTCGGTGTCAAATGTCAACGGAAGGCGCGAAATTTGAGCAGGGATGAAAGTGTTGAAGTAAATTGTAAAAAAAAGGTCAAAGAAAACTACGACGTACGGTTACCTGCAGAAAAACGAAAACAGTGCACCCATGTCTTATCGGTAGCCCGTTCCTAGAACAAAAAGTTAAAGACAACAAAAACTTATCAGTTGTAGCATTGTAAACAGATTAATTTTAATCGTACGATTAATTCGATACCTGAAACTAAAATTTTTCAGGGGTTTGGCTTGGCTTATTTTAGTTTACATGGTTGTTATGTTATGTGACTTAATATTGTCACGATGAGTCATCATCTTTGTTGTCTTGTAAACAGGTGTGTAATTTTAGACGTTTCATTTTGTGCGAATATCAATGAAGCGCAAATGAAGAAACAAGAATTGTAATGTAAATGTAAACACTTGTTATCGCTTATTACTGCATCTATTATCAATGATAAAATTAGGGTCTTGATTAGTTACAAAAGCAAACATTAGAGTCGTGTCAAATATTGCCAAGATGATGACGTCATTGTTGTACATAATAAAATCAAGGAACTCCAAACTTATCTAAATTTCTTGATCTTTATTAGTAAAAAATTCTTCCGTGTACAGACATATAACTTACCCACAATGTGCGGTTTATTATGTTTATAGTCTTGGCAATACATTTATTCTGTTATTTTCCTTCCATGAGTACCTACTTTTATAATCCACACTCAACCACTCATATCGGTTAAATACAAGCAGAAAAATAAATAGTTGCGAGCTAAAGATAACAGAGATTATGGTTGTGCAAACGATAATAGATGTGTATACAAAATGATTGGGTTAATTATTTCTTGTTTGAACCACCCCCACTGCACTGTCGTATTGCGGGCGATAATCTTATTCCAAAAGTAAAAATTAAGTCAAAAAACACAACAATTATCAGTTAACGTTACTAGGAATCATTAACATTATCGATCGCTTTAATTCTTCTATGACTAATTTTATTGTTTACACTTCTCGTAAATTATGACTTGATCTATCTATACATATGACACTAATACTACAGAAGTCATAAATTCTTTTAGGGTTTGGTCAGATCAGAATTTATATTGTACTTACATCTGTATTATTTTTAGCAGTGTTGGATTGAGGACAGGGGGGGTCCACTGGGAAATTTACAAAGTAGGGCCCTATGGTATTATTATTATTTTTGCAAAGTTTTCTAGTTTTCAATAGCAAATTTATTAATTTTTTGATCTTTCAAGTCTTGGAATTAATTTTTTTCGATTTGTTAAGTTTTCGTTTCTTCAATTTCTGCTATTTTTAAACTGGTTTTGAATTCTTCCATTTTACGATTTTTGAGTTCTGCAAATTTTCCGATTTTTTTTTCAAATTTCCCATTTTTAGATTTTTCTTTTCTTCATTTCTCAGTTTTTCGGTTTTTGTATTTTTATTTTTCGTTTCTCGATTTTTTATAATTCGATTTTTAATCTTTTAGTGTTGAAATTTTTCGGTTTTACAGTTTTTTCACTTCTAAATTTTTCGATTTTTCAACTTTTAAACTGTTAGTAATTTTTAAATTTTTATCAAAAACAACAAATTTATTCGGACTGAAATTTTGAGAAATTGTAAACTAAAAGTGAAAAATCTAAAAAAGGAAAAATTAAATTTCTGAAAGTTGAAAACTCTAAAATTGCAAATCAAAAATATTGTAAAATCGAAAAATTTGACAATAAAAATCAAAAAACTAAAAAATCTCTTTTTCAGTGATTGATTTTATGCGATCTGAATGAAATGAATAACCATTAGTCGTTAGAATGGGAAGAGGGTGGGTGGGCGGGGCTAGTGCTTGCTAAGGTAAGACTGATTTTGGCAAATGACATACCCTCTAAGAAAATAAAGGGTGGGTGGGCGGGTAGGGCTAATATTTGATAAAGTAAGATTGAACAATACATATTAAGAGTATGTCAGGATTGTCATATCTTCCAACATTAAAATTTTAATTTTTTTATTTTTCAGTTTTTCATTTCTTCAGTATTTGTGTTCGCAAATTTTTCTAGTCTTCAATAGCAAATTTATTAATTTTTTGATCTTTCAAGTTTTGGAGTTTATTTTTTTCGATTTGTTAAGTTTTCGTTTCTTCAATTTCTGCTATTTTTGAATTCTTCTATTTTACGATTTCTGAGTTTTGCAAATTTTCCGATTTTTTTCAAATATCCCATTTTTAGATTTCTATTTGCAATTTTTCGAATTGTTAGTTTTTTGTTTCAATTTTTCAAGTTTCCCATTTTTCGATTTCTCTTTTTTTCATTTCTCAGCTTTTCGGTTCTTGTATTTTTATTTTTTGGTTTCTCAATTTTTTATAATTCGATTTTTAATCTTTTAGTGTTGAAATTTTTCGGTTTTACAATTTTTTGACTTCTAAATTTTTCGATTTTTCAACTTTTAAACTGTTAGTAATTTTTAAATTTTTATCAAAAACAAGAAATTTATTCAAACTGTAATTTTGAGAAATTGTAAACTAAAAGTGAAAAATCTAAAAAAGGAAAAATTAAATTTCTGAAAGTTGAAAACTCTAAAATTGCAAATCAAAAATATTGTAAAATCGAAAAATTTGACAATAAAAATCAAAAAACTAAAAAATCTCTTTTTCAGTGATTGATTTTATGCGATCTGAATGAAATGAGTAACCATTAGTCGTTAGAATGGGAAGAGGGTGGGTGGGCGGGGCTAGTGCTTGCTAAGGTAAGACTGATTTTGGCAAATGACATACCCTCTAAGAAAATAGAGGGTGGGTGGGCGGGTGGGGCTAATATTTGATAAAGTAAGATTGAACAATACATATTAAGGGCCGGTTGCATAAACGCAAATCAAATTTAATCTCTGATTAACTCTATAGTAACGATTGTTATTATCATAGTTACCATTGTTCTTAATCAGAGATTAAATTTGATTTGCGTTTATGCAACCGGCCCTAAGAGTATGTCAGGATTGTCATATCTTCCAACATTAAAATTTTTATTTTTTTATTTCTCAGTTTTTCGATTTTTTAGTTTTTTGGTTCTTCAATTTCAAAATTTATTCAAACTGAAATTTTGAGAAATTGTAAACTGAAATTGAAAAATCCTAAAAAGGAAAAATTAAATTTCGGAAAGTTGAAACATTATAAAATCCACAAACTGAAAAATTTGAAATTGAAAACTCTAAAATTGCAAATCAAAAATATTGTAAAATCGAAAAATTGGACAATAAAAATCAAAAAACTAAAAATCTCTTTTTCAGTTACTGATTTTATGCGATCTGAATGAAATGAATAAAAATTAGTGGTTAGAATGAGAAGAGGTGGGCGGGGCTAGTACATGCTAAGATAAAAGTGATTTTGGCAAATGACATTCCGTCTAAGAAAATAGAGGCCGAGTGGGCGGGGCTAATATTTGATAAGATTTGTTAAGTTTTCGTTTTTTCAATTTCTGCTATCTTTAAACTGGTTTTTGAATTTTTCTATTTTACGATTTCTGAGTTTTGCAAATTTTCCGATTTTTTTCAGATATCCTATTTTTAGATTTTTCTTTTTTTCATTTCTCAGTTTTTCGTTCTTGTATATATTTTTATTTTTTGGTTTCTCAATTTTTTTATAATTCGATTTTTAATCTTTTAGTGTTGAAATTTTTCGGTTTTACAATTTTTTGACTTCTCAATTTTTCGATTTTTTAATTTTTGAACTTTTAGATGTTGTTTTATAATTTAGCAATTTTTAAATTTTTATCAAAAACAACAAGTTTATTCAAACTGAAATTCTGAGAAATTGTAAACTAAAGATGAAAAATCCAAGAAACGACAAATTAAATTTCTGAAAATTGAAAAATTATGAAATCCACAAATTGAAAAATTTGAAATCGAAAACTCTAAAATTGCAAATCAAAAATATTGTAAAATCGAAAAATTGGACAATAAAAATCAAAAAACTAAAAAATCTCTTTTTCAGTGATTGATTTTATGGGATCTGAATGAAATGAATAACCATTAGTCGTTAGAATGAGAAGAGGGTGGGTGGGCGGGGCTAGCACTTGCTAAGATAACACTGATTTTGGCGAATAACATACCCTAAGAAAATAGAGGGCGGGCGGGTGGGGCTAATATTTGCTAAGATAAGATTGAACAATACACCTTAAGAGTATGTCAGGATTGTCATATCTTCCAACATTAAAATTTTTATTTTTTTTTGTTTCTCAGTTTTTTGATTTTTCAGTTTTTTGGTTCTTCAATTTCAAAATTTTTCAGTTTTTCATTTCTTCAGTATTTGGATTCGCAAATTTTTCTATTCTTCAATAGCAAATTTATTAATTTTTTGATCTTTCAAGTTTTGGAATTTTTTAATTTTTCGAAATGTTAAGTTTTCGTTTCTTCAATTTCTGCTATTTTTAAACTGGTTTTTGAATTTTTCAATTCTACGGTTTGTGAGTTTTGCAAATTTTTCGATTTTTTTCAAATATCCTATTTTTACATTTCTATTTTGCAATTGTTCGAATTGTAAGTTTTTTGTTTCACTTTTTCAAGTTTTACAATTTTTTGGCTTCTAAATTTTTCGATTTTTCAACTTTTAAACTGTTAGTAATTTTTAAATTTTTACCAAAAACAACAAATTTATTCAAACTGAAATTTTGAGAAATTGTAAACTAAAAGTGAAAAATTCAAAAAAGGAAAAATTAAATTTCTGAAAGTTAAAACATTATAAAATCCACAAACTGAAAAATTTGAAATTGAAAACTCTAAAACTGCAAATCAAAAATATTGTAAAATCAAAAAATTGGACAATAAAAATCAAAAAACTAAAATATCTCTTTTTCAGTGATTGATTTTATGCAATCTGAATGAAATGAATAACCATTAGTCGTTAGAATGAGAAGAGGGTGGGTGGGCGGGGCTAGTACATGCTAAGATAAAAGTGATTTTGTAAATGACATTCCGTCTAAGAAAATAGAGGGCGGGTGGGTGGGGCTAATATTTGATAAGATTTGTTAAGTTTTCGTTTTTTCAATTTCTGCTATCTTTAAACTGGTTTTTGAATTTTTCTATTTTACGATTTCTGAGTTTTGCAAATTTTCCGATTTTTTTCAGATATCCTATTTTTAGATTTTTCTTTTTTTCATTTCTCAGTTTTTCGTTCTTGTATATATTTTTATTTTTTGGTTTCTCGATTTTTTATAATTCGATTTTTAATGTTTTAGTGTTGAAATTTTTCGGTTTTACAATTTTTTGAGATCTCAATTTTTCGATATTTTAATTTTTGAATTTTTAGATGTTTCAATTGAGAGATTTTTCATTGTTTAGGTTTTAGAATCTAGCAATTTTTAAATTTTTATCAAAAACAACAAATTTATTCAAACTGAAATTTTGGGAAATTGTAAACCAAAGGTGAAAAATCCAAAAAACGAAAACTTCCATTTCTGAAAGTTGAAAAATTATAAAATCTACAAATTGAAAAATTTGAAATTGAAAACTCTAAAATTGCAAATCAAAAATATTGTAAAATCGAAAAATTGGGCAATAAAAATCAAAAAAC